TGATTGATTTGTTTTGATTGATCTGCAGAATCCATAATGCATTGTACTTGTGTTCACTCTCCTGATTTCCCACCCACCACGGAGCCCGCACCTTTGGGGATGTCCCATTCGGGACACCAGGATTATCAGGAGAGTATAGGTGCAGAGGGAGCTCGAAATGTGCGGCTGGCTGACCCGATCAAAGTCAGCCAGGTGTTCCGCACATACTCACCCCGTCAGCATGGCCGAGTCCGTCCCCCCCACACCTCGCCTGTGGCCCTCTGACGGGACACATTGCCGTTTCCCTGTGTTGGCTAGTCACAGGGCTACCGTTTAGCAGGAAATCAGGGCCAAAGAGGGCGTATTGCTTGCCGGGGTCCCCACCCCGCTCGGGCTCAACCCCCCAGGATTCCTTCATCCCTGCGTACGGCGCTCAACTGCGTAGGCATGAACGCAGGAGGGTGTAGGTTAAGACCGCCCACCACTTGCCATGATCCACCCTCATAAAGCATGGCCGGGCTGTGTTGATCGCTTCGCGCTCTCACTGGTAAGACTCAGACTGAAGCCGAGAGTTGTCAGTGTTAGCCCCAGGGTGTACCGGCTACATCCTTGGGCATTCTGTGACAACATGTCATCACAGACTGTTCAAGAACTTCGCACGCGTGGAGGTGGAACAACTAACACACCACACCTAGGCGCCTATACACCCGACCTCTTCTATCACTGCCATGCAGACACATTCTGCACTCGTCAGTAAACAAGACAGCCCGCCATTGCTCGTGGTTCCAATTGAGGTGCTCTCTAGCAAATTGCAGGCGCGCTTGTCGATGGCTTGTCGTCAATTTCGGACCAGTTGCAGGGCGTTTTGGTGTAAAGTTGCCTTCCCTCAGGCGTCTTCGAACTGTCCACTCGCTTACAGCCACTCCTCGAACACGTCTTAGCTCTTGCTGTACGTCGACACCAGTCAGGTGGCGATTTCGTTGAGATGTAGAGACTATGAACCGATCGTCGATTTGAGTTGTGCACCTGTGACGGCTGGTTCTCGGCCTCCGGTCGAATACACCAGTCTCTAGAAATCTTCTGTATACCCTTGATACAGCAGATTGGCTTAGGTGCAGTGGAGCAGCGACAGATCGCTGACTAAGTCCCTGTTGCAAAAGAGCAACAACTTGAACGGCTTCTTCCGGTGTTGTATCCATGGTTTTGTCAAAATAGTGATGGCGATTCACGGAGATGCGTTCAGGTCAACTTCTGGAAAGCGGCTGTAGGCATAAGCCGCGTGCGGGAGGTTTTATAGGGTTAGTTGGTCGCCTAACTCGTACTGGGTACCGCGAGTAAATTTCCCTGTACTGCATATTTTTTTTTTTTAAACTACTGAATCGATATTGATGCTAATGGTACATTTTTAAAGCTGAAGTTTCAAGCATTTTAAACATATAACGTTTTTATAATTCGGTTGTAAACTTTTTGATAAAACCTACTCTGAATGCGCGCTTAGACATTGAGTCGGTTTAGTTGCTCGCGAGTGTAGTTAGATATTCAATTAATTTTTTTATACTAGGATAAACAAGAAAATTATAACAATAACATTATTTGATTAATTCAACTAAGATTTCTATTAGAAACTCATCAATGAGGTAAACACTTATTGTCTCAGTATATAGGTATTCTGTTCAGTTTCCTTACACAGTATATTGCATGCATTGAAATCCATGACCTTAAAAGTAATCTTAGCATTTTCAAAGTCAACCAGTGTCAAGAAAGGAGTTAAGAAGTTATTGTGATTGCTTTACTTATTATGTACATTGGAGGTCACATATTATCTTAAGGTTTTTAACAATTTTGCTTTATTTCATCATTTATTATCAAATTCGCTCAATTCTTTATTTGGATACTTTTCCAATGTACTGTCAGATTAACCTATAGGTAATAACCATATCTATAGCTGTTCTTTCTATGTATATTGTAGATAGTATGTAGATCTTATGTATTTGCAGTGAAGTAAAAAAAACATTCATATAAAGATATATTACATGCGAAACTATATCTATGTCCATGTAAATAACAAAAAGTCCAGCATAATTTCTTAATTTTAATTTAAAAAGCAATCTTTACAGTAATCACATGTGGCTAGAATAAAAAAAGTAAAATCATACTAAATGATATACACATATACAGTAGGGCCATTCCAAAGTGACAGGTTGGACATTTTGACTCCTTCTTTCTTGAACTTTTAGTAATTTCTCCCTAACCATTGGTTACTTAGACTTAAAATGAAAATATCATGAAGCCAGATATGCAATTCATCTGCGACTATTTATTTATTTACATAAATTTATGACATTATTTATATTCAAAACTTTTAATTTTCTAAGTGTGATGGGTGGGAAACTCACGATACCCGCCTGTTTGAGTTTTTTCAGCAAGTTTTTCATATGAGATAACTTGAATGTTAAAGTTCTATTTTATATATACACTTAATTAATAACTTTCATAAATTTTAAGGAAATTGACAAGTTAAGTTGTGACAGGTGGGACATTATTTTGTGACGGGTGAGACGAGTTACAATTGAATACACAGAATTAATAAAATTACACTGTTTAATATGAGATCCATCGTTAGTAAGCAAATATTTTATATTTTTTGTCTTATTAAAATATTTTAACATAAAAAAACAGAATTAAAGAACTGATAAAGTAATCCTATTATTTTTTTAGAAACACTATCTATATAGATTTTAGGACTTTCGTGGTTATTCACTAAATGATTATCACTAGTATCAGGTTTCTTACCACGGTATGACTTCTATTTATTTTCCCGATATTTCGGAACGGTTGCACGCTCCATGGTCACGGGTTGACTGGACGGCGGCAGATGACAGCTTTAAGAGCAGACATATCTGTCTACCCTCTTGCGCTGTCGACGACTACCTTCATCGCGATTTGTTCTGGCGTTACCATTGTCACTCACTTTTTTCACACAAACCACACTCACTGTATCTACAAGCGAAAATAAACTCGAGGTGTTTTTGTTTTTGTTACTGCACGCATTCCATGGATTCCATGCACTGGACAGTTTAAAACCATCATCACGGTTAAATGTTTTGTACTTCGTGATCTCGATGGCTTCTCCTACCAACCGTGGTATGTAGTGACGTTCTGTCGAGAGTACCTGGGGGCTATGCAACTCGATCCAGTGGTTAGTTAGTGTCAGTCTGCGTGAGATGTTGTGCTATAGCCGACTTTTGTGCATCATTGTTTTTTACTGCTCGGTTGTGTTCCTTCATACGATCGATAATTGTTCGTTTAGTCTGACCGATATACGAGCTCCCACAACTGCAGTTCACTTTATAGATACCCGGTGTTTGTAATGGAAGGCGGTCTTTTGGTGAACGCAACATTTTGCCTATTTTGGTTAAGGAGTTTTTAACAGTTTTTATGGAAAACTTCCTTAGCGACCTGGCTATTTTATCTGTCACCCCTTGTACATAGGGCAGAAAAACTGGTAGTCTCTGTACGTCAATTTGCTTCTTCCTTTTGTGTATTGGTTTAAATGTTTTTATTCTGTATCCATTCTGTCGCAAAACCGTCTTAACGTGCTCCTGTTCCTGTGGTAGGTGGTAATATCGGGCGTGTGGAAATATCAGGAAAATAAAAAGAAGTCATACCGTGGTAAGAAACCTGATACTAGTGATAAACACTCTCTATGACGACATGAAATCATAGTCACAAGTAAAATTCGTTAATAAATTTGAAAAATCCTGCCGCATCGTTGAAGATTGTTTATCATATCAAAATATATCAAATTTTATAAATTTTGCTCGAATGTATAGTTAAAACTGGTGGAGATAGACTTTTCATGAATTTCTTGATACTAAAAATCATCAGGAAAACTGTTGTCACTTTTTAATTGTCTTTTTTTATGTGTTAAATGTGTTAAGTATGAGAAGAATTATAAAAAATTTGCGTACAAATGATGGATCTACATATAAACAGTGTATTTAAAAAAATTCTATATATTAAAATGTAACTTGTCCCACCTGTCGCAAAATGGTGTCCCAATCGTCACCATTTAACACATCAAATGTTAAACTCCGAAATTAACGCAACTATTACACCTAGTAAACATCGTAAAAACTCGGATCCATGAAAATACAAACATTTAATCAAAGTAAAAACGTTTAGAAGTGTGTCCCACCCATCGCTGTGATATATATGTATATGTAATATAATGACCCTTAGGATAATTGTACCTTTTATTAAGGCAAATGCCAATAGATTGCATATTTATTGGTTAAAATAAAAATATATGTGTTTTATTGTGACGGGTGGGACTTGAAATGACTATTTATTGAAACTTTAATAACTCCTCACCATATATACTTCCATGCAATCACTTGCCACTGATTTAAAATTCGTGAATTGTATTTTCTTCGACAGTAATAACTTTTTTAGAAAGAAGCACAAATAACCGCGATTGTTGCTAACATTATAGAAAAAAAATGCTTCACTATAGACGACAGCACTATGGCTGCGTTAATGAAGACAAAAAATACAATAATTGTACAATATCCGAAAAATCTCATTTATTTCTAATGATTTGATTTATTGGGCGCATTCTAGTCATACAATTAAAACCAAATTGTGTATTTTATTTTTTTGAACTGCAGTGTCATTTTCGCTGGAATGACCCAGTACCCTTCTTTCTTTCTTTCTTTCTTTTACCCATACACATGTGACAAACAGGTCATAATTAATATACTACATAAATATGATGACCTCAGTGGTCAAATGACTTGCACACCAGTTTCCATGGTGTCGCCATCTATTAGGTTCTGATTTCAATCCCCGGCCAGGTCAATGTAAAAAACCAACTTTTCTGTTGTTCAAAAAATCAACTTTGTGTTTGTGGTACTCCCGTTGTTTCCGATTTGCATAACAAAAGTGTGTTCGTTCTTAATTTGGAATCAGAGCAACGTAGGTGATTGTTTGTCTAATATTTATTATTATATCTCTTTCAGATGGGAAACCCATGTTGCGTCAAGGTGAGACGGGTGACTGGATTGGGACATTTGAAGGCCACAAAGGAGCAGTGTGGGGAGTGGCTTTGACACAAAACGCTAATTTGGCAGCTAGTGGAGCAGCTGATTTTTCGGGTAAGTCTTTCAGCTCAAATTGAACAGTTCATCAATAGTATGTGGGATTGAATGTTTACAAGATTTGTGATGTAGATTTTTCCATACGCACTTACGAGTTGTTGATGATGTAAATGCAGACCATGGAATTAGTAGTTAGAAATATATCAGTTGTAAAATGTTGTACTTGGATTAATTAAAGTATTCAGTGATTCTCATGTAGATTGGTTTGCAGTTAATAACCTGCCCTTAAAGAGAAAAAAACAAATTATGTGAAATTTACATTACAATAGATACAGTTGTGTTTTTTCGGTATAACTTTAGACCCTAAATTGCTATGGTACTCACAAATAAGTCAGTTATCGAAACGGGTCAACCCTGCAGTGTACGCGATTAAAAAAAATAGCATTTCCTACGGCATTTTACTTTCGGGGTAATGCCGTCGATATTTCATTTAAGGTGAAATATATACACACACGAGGTTTAAAACTTTAGTTTAGCAGGATGAATATTGAAATAAATATTGTAAATTATAAATGTGTACAAATGTTTTTAACAAACAGCAACCCCTAGCTAGAGTTTCTTGCTCATTCTTCGCAAGGGAATCTGCCTTACAAATGAGCAGTAGAGTTTAATGTTTTTGACTATTGTAAGTTTAATTTACTCACCCATGGTATAAAGATTATTTGACTTTGATTTCACGCACAATTATGGTGCAATATTATTTATTGATCAAAGCTGTTTCACTCCCATGGAGAATTGCGAATGATACTTGCTTTTATGTTTCCAAGCTTGTGGAATAGGTAGCGATCACGCATCTCCACTGATGATCCTAATCGTAATTGCTACAAGCCTATCTATTTTACAGCTAAGTTATGGGATGCGCGATATGGCGAGGTGGTCCACACATTCGACCACGAGCACATAGTAAAGAGTGTGAATTTCAACTCTGACGACTCGCTGCTGCTTACCGCCAGTAACGAGAAACTCATAAGGGTGTTTGACTTAAACAAACCTGATGCTGGACGTAAGTGTACAATTTTATATGAGACGTTTTTAGCTGAATGCAATTATTTTGCGCCGGTATAGGAATTTAACTCATATTCAGATTAGATTCTGATTGAATCTACTAAGATCCTTAATCCATTTAAGTAGAGATAATCGATTCATCCGTAGAATAAAGTCCTATGTGCAGGACTGCTTATTCTCAGGAGTCCTGAATTTCAAATCATTTTATGGGGATTGGCGCTGTGTGGGGACAATGCGGGCATTCTAGCATAGCGTCAATAGAGCCAATCAAACCAAACCTACATAGCACCAATCCCCATAAAGGCCTCCATCGAGTTCAAGTGAGTTGAAATTCCCCACACATTGGCAACGCTGCTCAGGACATACATTTTGTTCGTTGTTCTCAGCTTTGGATATCAGATCGATCGTTGTTCGACTTTATATTTCCAAAACGACATAAGATATAAAAATTCTGATAAACTCTTGTATATAGATAGGTCTAGGTTTTAATAATGATATTATGTATTTACCTCTTTTCGCTATATAATCACGTAGGACTCTGTTCTTCCGATGCGTCGTAATGTTAAATAGCCAAGTAGGGTTTTATTACTTCAGTCAGTTATTCATCGAAATATAATAATAATTGTTGAAATAATTCAAAGCCAGTTGGTTGTTTAAACTCGTCTGTGACGAGAGACTGGCTGAGACGAGTGGCCTCTTAGGGCGAGTTCCCATTATGTCGTGACGACACATAGTCGTGCGCTTTAAACTGTCGTGTCTTGTATATTTAAATGAAGTTGTTCACATATAGTACAACACGATGAACTATCGAGACAATGGGAAGAGCTAGAACGACAGTCGTCCGGCGATAAATATAAACAAATAATCGCTGCTACTATTGTCGTCACGTTTTATTTATCCGCACCCTCGGCTCGCTTCTGCCGATTTTGTCGTGCAAACGACAAGTTGGCTGCCGTGAAACGATAAATTGTCGTCACGATCTAGTGGGGACACCTGCTAGACACGACAGTCGTTCAACGATAAAATAAACGTCTACGACACAGTCACTACTGAAAGTCGTGATACGGGAACACGCTACGATAAATAAAACGTTACGACATAATGGGAATGCGCCCTTAGTTTTAGGCAGTTTTTGCGGTATGCTAAACAACTTTTGTGTTGTTTAGCAAACCGCAAATCTGAGTTGTTGGTTTAAGAGATAAGAAAGCGACCGGATTGTGGTAATTGTAGTTTTCACCGGATTTTTGTTTGTTTTCCTTCATTTGACTGCTTTTAGTGAAAGTGTCATTTCATTTTTATTTTATGTCGTAAGTGACACTTGCCAATATTTCTTTAACAGCAATAGAAAAGATAAGTGCGCACACGAGCAGCATCAGGCACGCCGTTTTCCTGCACAACTCGCGCGTCGTCAGTGTCAGCGACGACCTCACAATGCGCGTTTGGGACCGCACGAGTGGGCAGGTAATTTAAACCTTGAGTAAGGGCTCTTAAACATAAACACGATGCGACGTCGTATCTCCGGACTCTTACACATAAACACGGTACGCGACGCGACGCCATATCGTGTTTTTGTGTAAGAACCCTAACGCATTAGCTCCATACATAACGTGTAAACGGTTCACCACCTGATGTTATCATATCGTATCACGATACATTGTCTATAGAACCATTGTTACGTTGTCAATCTTACAAGAATTTGTTCCTCCCAATTGTAGTTCCATCGAAGATCCACCGTGTAGATTACTCACAACATGACAAAGCAGGAGTGTTTGATTGATTCGCATTTAATTTATCGCTAATCTGTGACATAAACATTTCAGGAGGTGCACAAGATAGACTTCCCAACCATTCCAAACAGCTTAGAGCTATCAAGAGACGGAGCTATATTAACGGTAGCACATGGTAAGCAATTAATGAAGATCTATAAAAAATGTTACATTTGTCGAGCTCTTAGGTTTTCGCGATTGTTAGACAAATAAATTATATGAAACTGTTTAAATGAAAATAATTCGAAATAATCAAATGAAACTATTGTTTCGGATCCAAATCGCATACGTATGTTTTTTCGGCTGACTCAGTCAGCCGTGACTATGGTACGTGTAAAGGGCCCGAAACGTTGGTTTGTTTGAAAACAAAAAAAAATATACGCGATTTACATCCGAAAAAAAAAAATAGTTTCATTTTTAATTTTTATATATATTTTTTTTTATTGGTTCATGAAAACAGCTGCCGATTAGAAGCACCATGTGGCTCAAGGACGTTATTCGTAAGGTACACCGTGTGTCTTTAGGACCCGTGACCGGTTAACCTATATGGCGATCGATTTGTAACCCGAATGAGTTTGCACAAATTAATATTTTAACGTACATATATATTTTTCTAATTATTTTATGTTCACATATTTAGGTTTAAACGTAGCATTCTACTCGTCGGACACGATGCGTAAAATGCGCGAGATCCCTGTGCCCACGAAGTGTTATTCGGCATCGCTAGCGCCTAGTCGCGCGACGTTCGTCTGCGGCGGCGAGGACCTAAAAGTATACAAGTTCGATTACAACACCGGCACTGAGCTTGGTAAGAATTAATGCGATTATCTGACACTGTCACCCTTGTCATCCGTTAGACCCGGACTATTCCGGACATGGCTTCTTGCACGAACGTTTAAATAGGCCTAATAAATAGTTTATGCCGCCTACACGTGTTTCGGTTTTGTTGGCCACTGTCTGTGTCCGTGTAGCCCGGACTTTAATCCAAAAGACACGAAAATAGTTTTATTTACTGATACTGTAATTTTGCGGTCTACCGTATTTCAGCTAAATAAAAAGTCATGAACCCATTTCTACGTCTCACTGTTGGGCACGGGTCTCTTCTCAAGCGAGGGTTTAGGCCATGGTCCGCCACGTTAGTCCAATGCGACTGCACACGTTTTCAGAGAGTTATGAACCTTCTTCAACGTGCAGGTTTCATGTCGATGTAAATTTCAAATTAAATTTCGCACATAAGATTCTGATAAACTCAGGCCCTTATTCGAACCCACGGCCTCTGCCTGAGAGGCGGTAAGCCAAACCATTAGGCTTATAATTAAATAAAAAGTACATTTGTCATTATTAATTTCAGAGTCAAATAAAGGCCACTTCGGACCTGTACACTGCGTGCGATGGTCGCCCGACGGAGAACTGTACGCGACGGGATCTGAAGATGGCACAGTGCGGCTGTGGCAGGGCGTGCCGGGCCGAGTGTACGGCCTGTGGCGCCGCTCGAATGAGCACCCCATTGCAAATGGTTTTAAGGAGGTTGCAGCCAACTGACTCTTACCTTATTTTGTGCAGGTGATTGTCACAACTAATTCATTCTATAACCATGAGCTGAATAATGTAAAGTTCTTATTATTGATACAAATATCCATCTGACTAGACTCAAAGCAGTGTCTGTCGTCTCAACATGGCTACCGATCTTACCAACTAAGCTACGGATCGAGCCAGCAGATCTTTACTTTTTATGTCTTTAATTTTTCATGATATTCAAACAAAATAAAATATGAGTATTGCAATATAAATTTCATCAAACCATGGGCTTGGAACGGGAAAATATTGGTTGGTTAATTTTCTTTTCTTTTATCTTTGCAAATGGTGTTACTGCCTAATACTATAAGGCTCAAATTACATTGCTGTGTCACGAAATTTATAACGAAATTGTACATAGCATAATATATATTTTTATATTAATTTAACACACGCTCATAGCCCCGCACTAAGAAAACCCTGTATCGCGGGTCCATGGACACACACATAGAAGACCACAAATTACATCTAAACTCACAAGAGAAATGAATGTAGGCCATAGAAATATTTCTTCTGGCCCTGGAAAGTGTGTGACCTGTGTTTTTTTTTGTCGAATTGTTGGTTGTTTAAATTCTGTATCTGGTATGAAAAATTACACTGTGTGACACGAAATCAGTACCCGTAAAACTGATACCTTTAATAGATTGCTATTACCTGATAGTATGTGTTTAGTAATATATCTTATGTATGTGACACGTCTAGTTTTTTAGGTACCAGCCAATATCTTTTTTAATTATTTTCATTTTACGTGAAATATAAGTGAAAAATAACGTAATTGACAAAATCTATTAATGTGATGTTAATATTTCTGGAATCAGGTATCTGAGCGTTCTCAGTTCTTTTCATTGTATAGTTTTTCAAGATGAATGCCGAAAAGTTGTCGCGAGTACAAAAATTTATCAACTAGGCTTGGTTTCTATATTTTAGACATATTATTGTGCATCATGATTAGTCCTAGATTTCGGAACTGTTTTGCGTATCTTACTATATTACTCTCTTGTCTTGGCAGAACAGAGCATTCATGCTCATTGGAGTAACCGATACTGTGGCGTGAACGCAGTAATTACTATTATGATTATGAGACGACCTCGATGGCCCAACGGCTTGCTTTGTGGATGCTCGATGAGCAGGCCTCGAGTTCCGTTCTCGGTAGGAACAATTTGGGAAACTAACTTTTTTAAATTGGTTGCGGTCTGGGTGTTTCAGGCAGTGCCCCAGAGTGAAGTTGCTTGGTCTAGTACTCTACTATAGGGAATTGTCTAGTTTAAGTGCCTCCGTGGACGAACGGTTACCATGCCCGACTGCCACGCAGAGGTCCCAGGTTCTATTCCCGGGCCGGGAGAAATATTTGTATGGCCTACGTTTATTTCTCTTGTGAGTTTGCGTGTAATTTGTGATTGTCTATGTGTGTGTCCATGGCACTCGGGACACAGGGTTGCCCTAGTGCTGGGCTATTGAGTGTGTGTATTATTATTATTAGTAGTATTTATTTTAAACTCTCGCCTCTCCCAAGGCCTAAAAAATTAATTTTGAATTTTTAAATGGGAGAGGCGGTATTTCGTGGCACAGTCGGCTGGGGTCAGGGACTCAGGTCCAAGAATCGGCGAACAATACGTGCCGTATCGAGCAGGACCGCCTTCTGCATTTGTGCTGGAAGCGACACGCCACAGAAATCCAACCGCCTCAAGCTGTTAGAAAGGCTGACTGGAATTAACCCATTTGCGGACAAAACAATTGGGATTATTTCAGTGGAGGCCACATCCCACATGTCGGTGATCTCGTGCGCCAGGTCGAGATACTTCCGGCGTTTCTCGGTTTCAGCTTTCACGAGACCCTCGTCATGCGGGATGGTGACGTCCACAAGAAATACCCTCGACTGCGATCGATCTAATATCACAATATCAGGCTTATTCGCAAGAATAGTCCTGTCCGTGATAATAGATCGATCCCAATAGATTTTGGTGCGGTCATCTTCGAGTATTGGCTCCGGTGAATACTTGTAATATGGCAACCTCTGTTGCACTAGTCCGTACTTGAGAGCGAGCTCTTGGTGTAATATTTTGGCTGCCTGGTTGTGTCTGTGCAAGTACTCAGTGTTAGCAAGAGCGGAACAACCGGAAACAATATGCCTAAGTGACTCTCCGGGACGGCCACATGCCCGACAAATGTCTACTGTGCCGTCCTTTAGGATATATTTCCGATAGTTCCGCGTCTTGATAACCTGATCCTGTATTGCACAGACAAAACCTTCGGTTTCCCCAAAGAGGTCCCCGAAACGCAGCCAATGTAGGGAGGCTTTACGGTCCATAAAAGGCTCGTGGAGTACCTTGAAGAACCTCTCATGGAGCTCCTTCTCTTTCCATACGGACTCGCGGTCAGAAGTGCTAAGCACCACCGGGTCTCGCCATTCCTCTTTGGCCAACGATAAGGGAGTTAGCCCTTTATCACATGTGACAACCTCTCCACGAATTACGTCATCCGTCATCGTCAAAAAGTAGTTTCTGAGACTGCATATCTCGCGGTTGTGCATGGTTTTGACACTTAATAGGCCTCTACCTCCACACTTCCGCGGGACATACAATCTCATAACTGACGATCTCGGATGATGCATTCGGTGAGAGGTCATCGTCGTGCGGACTCGTCTATCCAGAGCGTCTAATTCCGTCTGAGTCCATTTGAGCACGCCAAATGTGTACATCAGAACAGGCATGACCCAGGGGAGTTATAAGCTCGTATAGTATTATAGTATTATTATTGTTAATATTATTATTATTATTTAGACCAGGCCATGAGTGTGGTTATCAAGCACATTATTCTGATCATAATTATCATGGACGTCACTAACGGCTATCGTAAACATCTTTTTGGGTTACCACAGTAATCACAGAGTCAAATATGTGGCACTGTTAGTGCATAATTTGTTACCACGTTAATGAAGAAGATGGATGCGGAATGTTGTTAAAAAATAATTTTGCCTATTCTCATATCTCTTTTTACCACTTTGAATCTTGGGGCCTGTTAGTGGTGAACAGAACAGTTCATAGGATGTAAAAAGAATTGACGAATAGTATGACGGTAATTAGAATGTCGCTAAGTGATTACTGCTGGATTGTAACGTAAGAATATTCTTCTCAACATAAAAGTTAAAAAAACCTATTTATTTTGTGTACACTATTTCATTTTAATTTTATATTTTATGTTTATGCTGCAATATATCAGTTAGAATTTATAACGTAGGCTTTCAAAACTGCAACTTATTACTGGGTGTTTACTTTTCAGTCATTTTGCTAATAGCCGTACCTGAAAAATTATACGTGTTACAAAAAAAATACGTATGTACTATTAATACACGATAAGTATAATAAAAAAAAAACGCATTTGAAAATTTTTTTCTAATTTGTAACGCATTGTTATTTTTATTAAATTTGTTCAATTTGTGCTGTCCCAGTTTTTTCTTCCGATACGTAATTTATAAATAAAATAAAATAAATATAATAAATTCCGATAAGTAATTCTTATAAGAAATTCAGTGTATATAGATTACATAGCATTAAAAAATACTTAATTTTATTCATTGCGTATAAAAAAATATTTTATGAAATTTGACCAACTTCTGCGGTCCTGATTTTTTTGGTCCCATACAATGAAATTATCCATTCATGAAACTGAATCAGTCAGCACAAAAAAAAACAATTTTATAAAATTTACTATGCAAATTGTTTTTACAAAAAAATGCTTAATGGTTCCTAAGACACCTGGTATCTTCTATGGTTTCGGATTTCCCCATACGGTCCCATTTAAAAAAAACACTGTCCTATACTGTAGCTACGGGAATTCCCGAGACTGCGAGTGTTGTCTGGAAGACGTACGACCTGTTTTTTTGGTTCGTATCTAATTTATACATTACACAATTGACAAAGTTTATTATGCCGTGGAACATTTTCTTCAAATTTCTTCTCTTTCCAACAAAAAAATAATAATCGAAATTGGTCCACAAATGCCTGAGTAATCGTGTAACACACAAAAAATCGCAGTGGAATTGAGAACCTCCTCCTTTTTTTAAGTCGGTTAAAGATATATTCTCCTTTGAAAGGTTCAATAACAAGGTTGAAAATAACCAGTTTTTCTTTTACAGGACTTTAAGGAGCAGTGAGAGTGCAATCAAAATTGGTCGTTTGTTGTCGACTGCGGCAGTGGTTGGTAGTCACAAGACCAGGCCGTGTGTTAATGAACTTGAGGGGCTAACCTGACAAATCGAGACTTTACAAATTGTCGAACTTATATTTTAAGTGTTGTTTATTTTTTGCAACAGCTCTTTTTTATACTCAAGCGCGAATGTATTTATTGTAAAAAGAAACAGAATAGACTTGATATTTGCAACAAAATAAAGAGATTTGTAAGTATAAACCAAGTTTTTGTTACGTATAGTTATATAATAGGTTACTAACAGCAAAGCAATGTAATAAGTAACAGCAATTTGTCGATTAGTTTGGACAATTTTTATAAAAATGAAATGAATATAAAATTATTTTCTCTCTGTCCAAATATGAAAGAAAGTGAAAAGGTATAAAATGTTTCATTTATGTAAAATAAAAACAACAAATTAACCAAAATTCATTAGTGTATTGATTTTTTTCACTATGTCAAGATTTGTATTTAAAAAAATTAGAAAAACTAAAAATTACTTCACCTACATAAAAGAGTATATCTATAGTAATATTTTACAAAATAATTTACACATACTAGATTCCTAGGCACTCAACTAGGCAGTGAAATGTATAGAAGACATGACTTTGAAGATAAATTATTTTTCTGTTTTTTTTTTTTTATTAATTTATTGGTAACGTGAACTTATAAGGGGTAACTAGGAGGTAACGAAAATTCAGTATCAAACGGAATAGATAATATTTTATGTAATCTTAAAGTATTTTGTCTTCTCTTTTAGTTTAAAGCTAAAGATGGCCATAAATGCTTAATATGGTGTCCATAAACAGTTTTTCAACAAAGGGAAAAAAATGAAAGGTTTTAAAATATTTGAAACGTTGACAAGATACTCTTTGACCCCGCTATCAGTACGTATCAGTACCGCGTCCATACTAACCGTGTGTTGGGTATAAAGTATTGGCGTAATTTTCAGATTAGTTTTCCGTACGACCTGACTTCGGTATCAATTTTTATTATTTAAATGTTCTAGAATATTATCATGTGTTGTGAATATATTTAATATTCTAGTATTGTAGCCTGAAATATTATTTAATATTTTACGATAATATATACTTTAATACTTATATACAAATTGCCACCGAAATTAGGTGGAGAAAACTAACCTGAAAATTACACATTGGCATTGCATGATCGATGCTATGGCTCGCCTAAGGACGGGATGCCAGCTTATCATGTATGGTATAGATTGCAGTTGAGTTTGATGTTGTGCGGTGTGTACAAGTTTGGGTATAATGTCATGTGCTAAAATTCCAATTCGCTCTGAAAACGGGTCAAACTTTGATCATAAAATGGCATCAAGTTTCTTAAAAATCTATAACAAGGCGAAGGCTGATATTATATTTTGGAATTTCAAACAAATTATTCCATTTTAATTCAATGGATCAGCTATCTCATAATATAATTATGTAGAATAGTTTCATGTACAATTATGGACACCTCGTTGTTATTGAATTTGAGTTCGCTGACATGATTGTATGTCAAAAATCTTAAAAATAATAATTTACAATTTGTAGCTAAAGGCCTCAAGCACCTTGTTCTAAAAAATAAATAGCGTTTTCGCTATTTTTGGCCCTTGGGAGTATTTTATTCATGAAAAATACTAAGCATTTTGGACTTTTACATGTACGCCTTATATTAATATTGAGTAACAACGTATAATTTGAGATATTGAAAGTACATATATGGCGTTTGGTAGGACTTTCATATTGTCTTATTTAATATTTCGTTTACTTATCTAACGTTGGACTTATTTACATTTTCCAGTGTGACACTAGGCCACAGCCTTCATGAACGTTTGTTCCACTTTTCACATTATAGTCTTGTTCACTTGAGTCTAGAGCCTGCGTTGTCTTGCACAGGTGATTCACGTGTGTTGTGAAGCAAGTTAAAGGCCATGTTCTGTATAGTTATTATAGCCTTGTAACTGACAAAGAGATTTTCACGTGTTAACAATTAAAGACAAAGCTATAATTGTTAACACGTCATAAAAATGTCATAATTTACTTTAATTTTTACACTTTTGGATACATTTCTTTTTCTGATAATAATAAGCTGTTCCTTTGGTATACTTTGAAGAATCATTCAAAATCATTGTAAAAGTATCAACGCGTCTACTCGTCTATACAACTGATCACGTTCACTTGGCGATAAAAGGTGTAAGGTCAGGGAATTTGAAGTTGAGTGGTTGGTTTGGACGCCGCGGCGCACGCGCTGGTGCAGCTGCACCACATTGTGCTGTGCATACGTCATCACGTAAAACCGCCTCGCGCGGCCATTCGCGAAGGAGCTGTGCACAGTCTGTGATACGTAGGGATGCACATTGTGCCTGTAAATATATAATTTCGTTATTTTATTATTCAAGCATCTGTATTAATTTCTCAATGATTAGTATCTGGCAGGAATCACAGTGTTTACCATCCATACGAAAGACGGAGCACTTTGCTTTTATTTTCAGTTTTGTTTCTTTGTTTTCTATAGTACGATTGCATCGTTCTAAAAAGTGGTTATTTATCAGTGTAGTTGCATGCAACTGTAGTTGCTCCTACAAATTACTGTATAATTATTTTACAGTAAAAACCATTGAAAAACGCACTTCATTTATCTTTAATGGTGGAAAACCCGTTTACTTATATTAATAGTTATGTAAGTCATACTGACCCCTTCTACAGAACAGATGCAAGACGTGCATGGCGAAGGGAAGGCGCTGTCTCCAACAGCGACGTTCCTGCCGGCGATGAGGCAGCCCTGCGCCGAGCTCTCTCTCCACGCTGAGAGGTCTATCTGTGGTAGCGATGAACAGGGCACACGCGGGTTCCTGGCATGATGGAAATATTGACATCAATGTTAGAATAGAATAGTTAATAAAATAGAATAAAAAATGTAGCCTTTTAAGTAACGGCTTCTTCTACCCGGGTCCTCTCCTAGCGGAGGTTATCGATCAATAAAAACAATGTGCTGGTGTGTAAAGTACTTTCTAAATTTTTTCAGCATAAACGTTAGAGATGAAACGCTTAGTGATTTGGCCGTATACCGGATATCCGGCGAGCACCTTGGCCGGATAGCCGGATATTCGGCAGCCGGATATCTAACCCACTGCCGTAAACATGTCACGACCAGTTTACAGCGCGTATCGCCGTAATTGATTACTGAATGATTGCATTTTCATATTGACGATTTGATTAATTGTGGTCACTTGCTTTTTAATAAAACCGATTAATTTATTCCATAATACAAACAAATACATAACAGAAAAATGTTAACTGTTGAAAAAATCGCAAATTTGGCAATATTTGAATATCAGTGCTGTTTGTTAGTTGTTTGTTCAAATTTCTCGCGGTGGAGAGGGAAAGAAATAAATTTCATCATTCTATGAATATATTAAAATTTCTAGTTGTTATCACTTGTCACCGTTATTGTTTTGTACCTAACTAAATATAAACCTTAGGTTCTTGTATTGCCTATTAGGATAGAGACACACTGAACTTACTAAGTTTAATTTACGTACTCTGTAAACATCAACAAACAGAAATTACTTACAAGAAGTTACTGGGCAAATCGAACGATGCACGTTGGATGTCAGTGGGTACATCAAAGTTTTCACAAAGAATTTTGGACATTGTAGATTTGCGGATCTCAGCTAATTGTTGTTCGGTAAACCTAGCGGCTGGATTGTCGTTCTCGAACCTAAAAAAAATTTGCATTTATCAATATTTGTTCATTAGGAGAGTTGTACACTTATGTTGTTATGAAATTGGTTTCCGTTGTGAACTAAATTTCAAAAATCACTCTGCAATATGCATTCGTTGCATTTATCTACCGCCTCATTTCTACTGCTCTTTGCCACCAGAAGTTTGCTTATAATGCATTTACAATAATTAATTCTTGTGAGAGCTTTCTCGTTAACTGCTTTAAGGATGCAACGGCAAACTTTTTAATTGGTGGAAATCAGTGATGGGCAAAATTTAATTGTTCTGGCAATTAAAGATTGACAATTGATTAATTGTCAATTGCGAAACAGCAATTAATGATTGATCAATTGTTAGTTGCGAGAACCGCAATTAACAATTAATCAATCGTTAATCGCAAATATCTACAATTAACAATTAATCAATTTTCAATCTTTTCAATGTTTTTGATTAACAATTAACAATTAAAACTGACAATTATGATAAATTTATAGAGCATATGGGGGTGAGTTAGGGCGTTGGTTGTGGGGGCCTGTTGGGCTCCTGCTGGGGGCAGGTTAGGGTGCCGGTTGGGGCCCCGGTTGGGGGCCCCGGTTGAAGGCTCCGGTTGGAGGCCCCGGTTGGGGGGCCCGGTTGGGGGGCCCGGTTGGGGGCCCGGTTGGGGGCCCGGTTGGGGCGCCGGTTGAGGGCCCTGTTGGGGCCCCGGTTGAGGGCCCCGGTTGGAGACCCGGTTGGGGGGCCCGGTTATAGAGGTTCAAGTTCCTTAACTGGCTCCTAATCGGGCCCCCAACCGGAGCCCCAACCGGGTCCCCCAACCGGGGGCCTCCAAGCGGGCCCCCAACCGGAGCCTTCAACCGGGGCCCACAACCGGGGGCCCCAAGCGGGCCCCCCAACCGGGCCTCCAACCGGGCCCCCAACCGGGTCTCCAACCGGGGCCCTCAACCGGGGCCCCAACCGGGCCCCAACCGGGCCCTTACCGGGCCCCCAACCGGAGCCCCAACCGGGGTCCCAACCGGGGCTTCCAACCGGGCCCCCAACCGGAGCCCCAACCGGGTTCCCAACCGGGGCCCCCAACCGGCCGGAATTGATTTTAATTGCAAATTTAATTGCAATTAAAATCAATTCAATTGAAATCAATTGCAATTAAATTCAATTGCAATTAAAATCAATCGCAATTAAATCAATTGCGACGCGATTGAATTGATTTTTTAATCTGATTGAATTATTGATTGAAATTTAATTGATTAACTCCCAACACTGGTGGAAATAACATATCCATAGTTTTCCTTGTACACAATAATCATTAATTATCTTACCAAAACCTGTCGCATTTCCTCAGCTGTCGGAACTGTATGGCAATGATACAGGCGAAAGTAGGGCCGACTAAACCGCCCTGCAGAGGTCGCTCGCTCATGCCTCCAGGGAATAGATCGATGTCGTCCACCGTTGGGTATATCCTCTTGAATCTGTGATTTAAATTTTTAAATAAATAATATTTTTTGATTAAAGAGATTCCGTAGTGCTACATTTATTCATGCATTCAAAGGAAATTCTAAGGGGTGCACTCTGACAGCAGTTCCCAGATATTTAAAAGTAAACATTTTCACGTGAAAATATACTTAATCAGATAAGTAAAACGTTTGTAAACTTCGCTGTCGGAATATCTTATAAATCGCTTATGAAATCAAATACTGTCCTTACTCTAAATAGCGGAATTGAGAAAACACGATTTGAAAATTAAAAAAAAGATACTGAATGGATCTTATTACGAGTAACGTGATTATTTTTATTTTTACATTATATTTAGTTTTGCATTTATAAACGAGAATGTATATTTATTGGTATCATTCAGTAATTTTGTGAACTTTCAAATCGTGTAGGTATTCTCAATTCTAAAATTTTGAGTTACGACATTATTTGGTTTCGTGCGCAAATGATGAGATGAAAAACATCTGAGGAATTAGCTACGTTAAATTTAAACTGAAGTGCATTTTGTTTTGACTTGCCTTGCAATAACTTCATCCGGAATTTCTCTAGACAAATCCTCGAAAGTGGTTGCTCTCTTCAAGTTGCAAAGCGCTCTGTAGTTATTATAACTTGGAATACCATGATCTCTAGATCTCTGAATGTTTAGTGCAATCAGATCTACACCTGAGAATGGAATCCTTCTATCTTCGAACAAGTGGTTGGTGACTTCACCGGTGATGAACTGATCGAGGGTTTCCATGGGAGTGGATGCAAGACCACGCATTAGCTCGTCTGCTAATCCAGGGTGCTGAAAGTAATACAAAGTATAGTGAAGGTGCCCAAGACAAGAAAGCCACGCTGTATTGTTTATATGTAAAATAAGGTGATTTACATCCGGATGAGTCTACAAATAGTAATTGGAAGAAAGAGAAGATGAAATTTGTGCAGACTATAATATGTAATCGGTGACATGTCTTCTCCCCATTTCATTCTATCAAATAGGAAATACTTACAGTCATGAACAAATCGGGCCTGAAAAATCCGTCTCTCAGTAGAATCGGAGGTTCAACGGGCTGGAAGTTCGGATTAAGTCGTGGTAAGTGTGGCCTCAGCAAGGAGTGTCCTATACGGAATGCGGCTGAGGCGAATTCTGTTACGATCGCTGGGTTGCAGGTCGGAGAGTATTCCTTGTAGTAGCCTAGTAGAATAACGATTTTATAAAAACTTCAGTTACATAATACAAAAATTGGAAATACATGGTACATGCCAAAAGTATTAAAGTAAATAACAAACTGCCTGAAATTAAATTTGGAAGTTATCCTTATAATAGAGCCTGAGCCTAATGAATAAAAATGCGAACTTGTGCGTTTCTATTTGAAGACAATTTTTTGCATTTAGGAATTTACAATATTTTGTATAATTAAAGTAAAAATATTTGGATTACTCTCTCAAACAATAAAACTTTTTGCTTAAACAGAACTTCGACAAAAAAGAAATTACCTGCAGGCAGCAGCTTTAATCCATAAAGATTGACAGCATTCCAAGAAAGAAGACGCGGCAAGAATTCATTATAGATAATTTGTGTGAATGAAGCAGCTAGAATACGGCGTGCGTGTTCGAAGAGTAAATCAGCATCCCAATGAGGGTTGACTCCTCGAAGGCCCTCTACCAAACGATTGTGTTCTCGCATGAAGATCGTGTGAATCGCTGTAAGACCTGGCTGTTCGGATGCTCTGCCATCACCTAAAATACAAAGTAGGTATTGTGACAACCTTGGTATTCGTTGGTTTAGTGTTTAGTTTTTGGGAATAAAGAGAAATAAACTATATTGGACGAGCTTTGTGGTACTAAACAAAGATACATTATCCTTTTGAAAGCTATTTTCCTACATCCACGTAGATGGAAAGATATGCAAGAACTAACCACCACTTGCTCTTTTTTGCCCATAAATCAACAAAGTTTCTGTTGCGAATCAACAATTTGTAGCTGTAGACCCTTACCAGCAATAAAACAGTATCCGCTCGGCGCTTTGCATTCTGGATGGCTGTCCGACCTCGGCAACAATTCTCTACCATGATGTGGGTTGTCAGTGGCATTTAGGCGTCCGTTGAAACCTCGTAGTTTGCGTACAATGCACGGGTTCTCACCGTAAATTACAGATGCATCGATGAAAGCAGAGTTTTGGTTCACTTGTTCACGAGGGCCTAAAATGAGAAGAAAGAGCCTGAAGACCTCCTACGCCCATTCTTCAAGTCGTACCTAATACTGGTTAATGAGAAGAAGACTCACTTTACGACAAATTTTTTGGAAACCTGTCTGTTGAATACTATGAACCAAATACCAATATTTCAACTAATCTTTATGTGACTGTTGAAGGTATGTCACAAATTTACAGTTCTTTAGGCAAAACGACAAAATATTTGCCCGCTAAGGATGTACGCACCAAGTTGTTGTTGACCAGGCAAACTTCTCATGAAGGGGAAACACAGTCTCTCCCCAGACGTGACGTTGACTTCAGGATAATAGTGGTCTCCCCTTGGTACTGGAAATGGGTTGCATTCTGGGTGAACGGTGCGTGGCGAGTCGCAGGAACGGCAGTCTGGGATTGACTCGTGGAAACCTGAGAAAAAGTAAATGTGTCCATATATTAGGAACATATATGACATTAATGTGCCGTTAAGAATCAGTAACTATGTAACTTATAGATAAAATCGCTGGCAGATACAATAAAATCAAGCAAAACTGATTATTTTTCTGATTGAACTGAAGTTATATTGGTTCGCCAAAATTTTACAATCATGCAAAAAGGAAAGAATTTTGTATTTCCAAAAAATTAGATTTACCTTTGTGTATAGGTGTCATAGTAAGCTCGTGGTCGAGGAATTGCGCGAACTGCATCACCATGAGTGTGTATCGTGTGTGCAAATTAGATATATCAGGGTGGATCACCGTGGACACTATTCTGGGCGAAGGCAGTGGTGTGCCTGTCACTGAGTTAATACGTGGACGACTTACACCTGGAAAAGAATATAAACTTCTAGCTTGGTATTTGGAACACATGTTCAAAGAATTTGCAGATTTATGGTCCTATCTTTTGACACTAGTTTTGTGAAGAATTATTATTCTTAATTAAGAATGATTCAGGTATTACTTATATGTTGAAGTTTTATATTTGTCAAATATTTGTACAGTGTACAAACTAATCAACCCTTACCGTCTTCATATACAGGAGGTAATAATCTTGCAAATGTGGTCAAACTTTTGCCCAAATTGGGGTTCCTCAAATTGTTACAATATCCAGTGTAAGTTCTGAATGGACTATCTGGATCGCAAGAACCGTTGTCATCACATTGAGGTTCAATAGTTGGCCCTGATTGGTCTTGACCTACGAAACCACTAACGTCGACTGATTGTAGGGAGTCCACAAAATCATTAGTTGTACTGAAGCCAAGAGCATCATCAAATATTTGACGCTTTCGACGGTGCCTAAAAAAATGAAATTATTCTTACATAAAAAAGGGCACTTAGCAATACGTAAGTCAATGTACATAGTAAATTAATATTCTTACCCAGTGTTAAGGGAGTTCAGAAGCTCATTGGTAGCGAATTCAAAGAAGAGGGATGTGTTGGCGAGTTTTAAGGCGTATTTATTGGCCTTTGAGAAGGATGCAGCAGTTCCAACTGGAGATTTGGGATCAGCTCCTCCATCTGTAAACGAAGATTTTTAACTAACCTTGCAAGGTAATGTTAAAGAATTCTTGAAATTAATCGGTTACGTTATATTCTACCATGTAAACATTCGCAGGATTCAAAACTGGATTTACTTACTGGCTTCCCAAAGCATGTATTCGAGTTTTTTCCTGTCTGCCATTTCTTGTTTAGCCTTTTCTAGGGCTGTGGCGATCATATCCTGACTGAGTCTTTCAGCCGCTTTGGCACCGGTTTCATCGCGCCAAGCTGATAGTTCCAGGCGGTTGTGTTGACTACATTGCTGCGCTGCGTTCCTGTTGGACATAAAACGTTTACAGACTTGCCGAGTAAAACATACTTTCAGATTTTCAACAATAATAAGGAAATCTGAACACTATTAATAGTGAGAGCAAACTTAAGTGTAACTACATTGAAGACAAAACGAACTTACAAATAAGGATCCTCTTTCACGAAGGCTTTAGGCTGAATATTTACGATGGTACTGTCGGCGTCACAAAGCAGGCCAGATAGAGACACTTTCTTGATGGCAGCGAGTTCTACAGGTGAGAAAGAAGACGGAGGAAGATCGTTCTCATACCAGAACCTGTAAAAATATAGTCATGTAGTTAATAAATAACATCTTGGTAACAGACACCCAGAAATTGTAAGTAAGTAGCCTTCAGTTCAGTCGCAAGATACTTACCATATTTCTAAATAAAATGTTAAATACTAGATTGGTATTCGGTTACCTGTCACTCTTTTTCAGATTGGCGAATTGTAGAGCCAAGACGCAAGCCAGAGTTGTCCCGATAACGGCTCCAGTTGCAGGCTTCTCCATTACGCCTCCAATAACTAGTTCGATGTCTTCCACGTTTCTAAAATTCAAATAAAATTAGCGTTTTTACGTTCGATACTGGAGAGTCAATTCAATGGTTATTGTATGAAATCGTAAGCTTCTCTTGTACCACGGATAAAGAAATAGAAGTGAAAGTGTTTTGTTTTTAGTCTTAATCTTCCAGACCATAGAGCAACGCTGCACTGATATTTAAAAAGCAGAGTGTTATAGAACCTTATATTAATTTAAGTTCGAATTGATGACATTTGGAGGAGGGTACGAGTGCGTCTTACCGATACATATCAGCCATCATCTCCTGTTGTGTTCTATCAAAACCCAGCTTGTTAAAATCTGCGTAAGACTTCACATTCATCGTTGGTTCACAAAGTCTCAAAGCCTTCAAGTAAGAGGCGACACCGTGATCTCTCGCACGGTTCACATCCCATTGAGCTGATGATGGGAAGCGAGAGACTTTGTGAGCACTTGTACGGATTAAGTCTTGCAGAGTGATAGTACCGTTGACCTGTGAGAGAAAAAACCCATGTTTGTTAACATATGTAAATGGGGGCCTTTGGTAAAGTTCTTTTCAAAGTAAAGGATCGTAACTTTTCCGGTTACTTCGGAACCCTCGTAATTGCTATTTGTGAGACTAGGTCACCGGTTGATATTATTTATTTACGTAATTTATTAAAAACGTATAACGACTAATGAGTATTGTCCTTACCAGTTTCTCGTTCATCATGGCCTTGAAGACAGGTGCGACGGCGACGAGCTCAGCGTACGCGCCGGCGCGGTTCGCGCTAGAGTACCCTCGCCAGAAGCCGAGTGATGTTAGCTTCAATTCCGCTTTTGCCATGCCCACCTGTCAATAATATTATATTGCTGTGACAATTTGCACTTCTATGAAAAATATTGTTTCTGAACGTCTCTTTCGTTTAGATTTCGGACCGTCATTTCTCGGATTTGGAACTGAGACGAATCGGACGTAGTGTGCAAACATTATTAGCATGATGTATTTATTCCACTGCTGGGCAGAGGCCTGATCCCTCCAAGCATCCCGATTCTGAGCTAACTGGACCCAAGCTTTGTCGTAAGAGTCCAGTTCATCACGCCATTGCTTCCTAGGTCTGCCGCGGCGCCTCACGCTTTTGGGGCTCCACTGGATGGTTATCTTGGCCCACAAGTTTTCAGGCATGCGGCAGATATGACCAGCATAACTCCATTTCAGCTTCGCAGCTGCGACTTAACAATTAGTATTATAACGGCTTCCATTTTTCACAACAGGAAAAAGATTTTTCATAGCAGTTTGAAGGAGTATTGTTGTAGGTACTGGTTTGCTATTTGGGTTCAAATGATAAATTCAATTTAAATTATTTCACTTACCTCACCCAGTAGTACTGGTAAGAATTCATTATAAGTAATGTGCTGAATAATGGCTGCTACTGCTCGTCGCGTCTCCAAGAACAATGTGGTGTCATCCCAGAAAGGATTAAGGGAGTACAATTCGCCAGCGATACGATTGTGTTCGGACAGAATCGCCTTGTAAAGAGGCGCTGTGGGTGTGCCGTCGTTACATCTGTGATAATAAAAATGTATTTTCATGAAGACGTTTTGAATGACAATAATAAACGTGAATACGTGAAAACGTGAAGTAATATATCAGAAGGAATAATGGATATATTGCAAATCTAATTATAAGCTTAAATACTACAAATAAGGTTAAGTAAAATGTTTGAATTTCCCAATTTTTAAGTACATAAAAAATATTATACATTATTGTCGCTAAAATTAATATAACAGAAGTACGCATATGAGTACAATCACGGAGGATGTAATATCACGGAGAATGTGCGATGGAATAATTCCGCTATTATCTTTCATCATCGGGGGTGTAGACGTAGGCTGGAGTTCCACCCTTACGTTGTGTGTACACACGATTTGCATGAAGCGTTACGCTTCCACATTTACAAGGCATACGGCATCGGAGTGGAATTGCCCGCCTGCATTTTTGTTCCCTGAACGCTATAACTTGGGCCTTTTCAAGGCGAGAGTGAATAGGCATTATATTGATGTGCATACTTCATCGTCGACCTCATCGTCACTTTATATCAGGTGAGAGTCAAATGCGCACTTATCCATAAAACTTTTAAATATTTTTTTACATTAAATAAATTCTTCTATTTTTTGTTTTAGTTTCAATAATTATTTCCTACAGAAATTTTATATATCCCTAAGTATCTAAAGAACTATTCAAAAATTACCGAAGATCCTTTTAATGAAACGGATTTAAAGGAGTTAATTTAGGTAAATGTACCTAAACACACAACACGTGACAGGGAAGTAAATCTTCAATTTACATTTAAAAAACAAATCAAGTATTTTCCTACTATGGAACAATTACAATAAATTTTAATGACGATTCGCAGGTTGGAATCTCGAGATCAAAATGTCGGAATGCATTTCAAGGCGTCGATCTAATTTGCATACAATCTGTTACGTGACGACATACAAGTAAAAAAAAAACCATTGTGCATAAGTTTTAGGTACGCTTTTATTTAAATTACATAATTATTACTTGCGTACCATCATGTGTAATAACGTACATTCTTATTGCGTGCGTATTCGTATACTCATAGTAATTTGTCAAGAAAGATATTAATAAGGATATTATGACGCTATAAACTCGTGTACGCAAGACGCTCCTCGAGACAATATTGTTATAATAAATCGCTATTCACGAAAACACGAAGTACACGCTAGTATTAGCACAAAACCACGGAAAAAATAAGTAAGTGAAAACTGAGCAGGAAAATTCACAGCGAAAAACGAGAGTAGGCCAATAAAGATAGGTTTTCAGGTAAGTACATTTATTTGCAAAACACGGGTTATATTTTTATAAAATATATACAGTACACATTTGTTTCTTGGTTTTTTTTAAAGTATTCAAAAACATTTGTTAAACTTTTGTAGTTGTTAATTGAGCTGTGCAACGCTTACAACTCGAAATTTCCATGCGTGTTTGTGTTAAAAAGATTTTTTTTAATTCGTTTTAACGCCCTCTAACCTCTAATTGGTAAGTGTTTAAAAATGCAATATAGACAAAAGGGAAGAAACTTTCATAGATTTCTCACAGATGGCGCATAAAAGTCGGTAAAAACCAAAAACAAGGATCAGCAACAAGCAAAGACAAATCGTAAGTCTGTTAGGAGAGTGTCAGGCACGGTATGATGAAGGCACTGGTTGGAATTCAGCCGATATCGAAGGAATTTTTATTAGTTTTCAATCTTTGTATTAATAATTATAACAAACTAGCAGAAAAATTTCACAAATAAAATTGAATATTACGATAGTAAAACACCGTGATATTCAATAAACTTAGTATTGCAATACAAAGATTATTAAAAATGTACTCAAATTAGTTTTAAAAAAATGAACGAGTATAATAACGCTAATGAAGATTAGCCACTGAACAAAAAAGACGTGGGAAATCGCACAATAATTATTAACCTTATCTACCTTGTACCTTGCAACGCATTTTTTGTTTAAACCCCGTTGTAAACTGCAATGGCATACAAATTTTAATATGTATTAAAATGTACATTTTTGAGGTTATAGCAGAATAGAGATCGTTATTGTGTAAGATCGTTTTAGTATAGTAGTAAAAACATAATATTCAATGAAAAATATCGCAATACTAGAGATCAGTAACAATAATATATTATTGTAATTAGCTACTATAAACTTTTATTGCAAATTATCATTAAAATTCCTGGTTGAGATAGTCAAAAAACTAAATACGATAGTAAAACCAAAAATATGTAAAATCCAAAAAGACGTTATAAAAAAGCTTAAGCTTAAACTTTAAACAAGTTTAAACTGCCTCTGTGGCCGACTGGTTACCATGCTGGACTCACGACGACGACGAGACGTCCCGAGTTCGATTCCCAGGTCGGGAGAAATATTTGTATGGCTTACATTTATTTCTCTCGTGAGTTCGGGTGTAATTTGTGGTTGTCTATGTGTGTGTCCTTAGCACCCGCGACACATAGTTTCCCTAGTGCGGGTCTATGAGTGTGTACGTTGTTATTGTTATTAATAAAGGTCCAAACGTATCGGCATTGAGCTGCGTGACGAGGCGCTGTCTTGTACGTCGCTGCTCTGCAACCTAGTATTAACCACATAGTAGCGGTTGTAATCTACAGACAATGTTTACACAGGTTTCAATTTCCTATTCATTCTATTCATGCTCCCCGCGGAGCAGTCCCCACCCACAGGAGCATGCGCGTCGCTGCTTATAAACTCATACAATTTTTTTTTAATGCATCGTGTTACGTTTGCCGTTTAGCGCAGCGCTAATGTGTATGGACCTTAATATACATTGCTTTTCTTTTCAATAATTATGTTTTTTTAATATATTTTTTTTCTAATTAAATATGTACCTGTGATCTGGGTATTTTGTTTAGTAATTAAAGTTCACAGTAAAAAGTAAGAAGCCTGCAATTTAGTGAATAACCACGAAAGCCTTGAAATCTATAATTTTAAAACTTACTTGCGGCAGGACGCCAAGTCGATTTTTCCAGCATCGTAGAGCCGTAGAGAACGAAGTTCTTTCTCGGAGCTACCGTATAAAGAAGAGCCATCGACGAAGGCGGTAGCTAGGTTCATTTGATCACGGTGTTCTGGGGAAAAATACAGTTTAATTTTCGATTTTTTTTATTTCGTACATCAGGACGAGAATGTAAACAATATTTGTTAATAGACTATTAAGACATTTTTAACCTGTTGTGGCATATTTTATATCATAGATGATATGTAGTGATCAGAATTGAACGAGTTAGTCTATCTGAAGTAGGAACGTTCGGATATCTGAAATTTTTCTGTGGACCATCCGCGCGGAGCACCGGAGCGGAGTGACACGTGTGGCGTTACAACATCGTTTTACAGTGATTGCGGATTGCTCCGTACGGTGTTCCGCTACGGGTGAACTCCGCAAAAGCCTTAGTATTTTTTTATGATACTAAGTGAGGGGACGAACAAGTCGTGCGTAAGCGACATGTCTATCCATAACAGTTGCAGTGCCACTCAGAGCTTTAAATCGCAAAGATCTGAGGGGCATTGCTACTACTCCCGTCGACTTAAGACTGATATGATTTGCCTGTAATTTCGCCAGCATCCTTATTCTTCAAAACCGTGTTTAAAATGGCGAAAAAGACGGGAGATGTTGATTATAATATTATATATTCATCATTACAGAAACTATACAGTACATATCTTAGGGGATAAAGCAAAAATAAAAAAGCGCATATCGACGTATAGCTATTGGATATACCTATGAAAACAAACTAAACGGCCAGTATAAATCTATAAAGGTATACAACCTCAAGAAACTGGAACACGGTAATGCTCACATTACTGCTTGGCGGCAGAAATAGGTAAGGTGGCAGTACTTCCCTGGACGAACTCTATCACAAGAAGCTCTACTGCTACTAATTAAATGCAAATTAACTATAATATGTGTAATATAGTACATTATATAAACCAATTAATATTTATTTCTGTATACTAAAGAATATTGGAAGAGCGGGTCTTCCTAATACCTACATAGAAAATCCAATCGTAAACTCCAATTTAAGTTTTTGTGAAAAAGAAATAAAATTTTCATTAACTAGTATGAAGAGGAAATGTCAAACGTAAAAACTCTAAATTATCTAAGTACTTGTTCACTTACATAATTCTACGTTTTAAACGAAACCAGTTGCAATTCAGTTATTTCCTGGTACGCACAAAACAAGCACTCGTATGTAAGGCCTGATAATTTAGAACGTAAATTTAATGAAGCTCATGCATATTTAATAATTTATCACATGATTCTGCGTCATTATGCAAACTTATTTAGATTTTAGCAATTTAGACTGTATTGGGGTCAGATATAAGTATTATTTTGTTTCATTACGTAGGTCACTAATCAGGTTTATGTATCCACCTGACGAATGAGTGTTTTTACCTTCGCCGTAGGATAGGATCTCGTGTTACGATAGGCTATAAGTCCGTCCACAAGGATGACCAAATCAAAAGTCACTATTTAGATCATAGGTTCCCAAACTTTTTGGCTCACCGCGTATTTAGGCAAGATAAAAAAATTGCAACGCCCACCACCACAAAAAATACGTATTTTTTTATATTAACTTAACACAAAAAATCACAAGGGAAAAATTATATGTATGTATATATTGTATAGTTTATATATATAATTAAGTTTCTTTTTCAAATGCGGTATCATCCGCTGGACAGCATCAACGCCCCCCAATTGCTTCCGACGCCCCTATCACCTCTCTAATACTCTTCAGCACCCACCTTTGGACCACTTTGGGAAACTATGATTTAGATCATAATGTTAAAATCATGTGTTATTTGAAGAACGCATTTTTTCTGTTAGCTGAGAAAGATGAGAAAAATTGGTAGAAGGTGATCTTACACTTTTGCAGTCGGGTGTCGTTGACTTAGATGACTTTTCGTCTCATGCGTGCAACAAAGATCTGTGTGCAAGGCTACTTGTTCTCAGGACATAGCACATTTCGTTCGTTCTTCTTCGCTGTGGATGTCAGATCGACTGTTGTTCGATTTTTTTGTTGTTGTTGAATAACGAAATTAATGTCGTAACGTACTTATTCTCTTTTCGCTATATGGTACTTGGTACTTGGTGTAACGGGCTGGTGTCCGCAACTCGACGACAAGGCGCTTATTTTTCGCTATATAATCACATCGGACTTTGTTCTTCGGATGAGGCGGTTTGTAAACAAACAGTGGAGTAATTTTATAAAAAAATTGCATGGTAGTAAAACATTCGTTTCATCAACTCACTGCTTGACACGGGTTTCCCTCAGGCGAGGGTCTTGGCGTGTTATGGACAGAGGTGTTACTTAACACCAGGCGCACGACTTGTTCGTCCTGCCACTTGATATTATAAAAAAAAGTCCGCCACGCTGGTCCATTGCGGTTGGAGACAACATGTTTTCCGAGGGTTGTGAACCTTCTTCGGCATGCAGGTTAAGCAGCAGTAGAGCTTGTTGTCCAGGGAAGTACTGCCACCTTACCTATTTCTGCCGCCTAGCAGTAATGTTAGCATTACTGCTTTCCGGTTTTGAAGGGTAAGGGTGCTGGAGTAATTACAGGCACATAGGACTTGTCAATTTATGTGTCAGGGTGACCGGCGCAGTGGCAGTGCCCCTCAGATTTTTGCGGTTTAAAGCTCTGAGGGGCACTGCAACTGTTACGGACGTGTAGCTTACTATCAGGCACACGACTCGTTCGTCCCGTCACTTGATATTATAAAAGGTTTCATCACGATGTTTTCCTTCATCGAAAAGCTTATAATAAATTATTCGAACCTACGGCCCTCTGCTTGAGAGGCGGTAGGTCAAACTATAAGGCTACCAAGGCGTCTTTAAGCCTAAAGTTAAGTTAGTAGTGCAAAAACACTACTGAGTTTTAACTAAACTAAATTTATAACTAATTTAGGGTTTAATTGTACAGTCTTACTCACCGAAGCCACAAGAGTCGATGTTTCTTGTTGGAGCTGATCGAACGTACTCACAGTTAGCTTCTTGACAATTCTGAAATAGATTAATGATTTTTAATGTTCATTGTGTAGGTAATTAAGGACATTTATTTAATAATAACACAAAAGATTGTGATATTTTTTAATTATAATTTTAACTTTTCAGGTTAGAGTCCTGTCGGGTCGAAGGAATTTTTATTATTGTTCGATCTTTTTATTAATAATTATAACAAACTAGTGAAATAATTTCACAATAAAATTAATATCTCCATGATATTTAAATATATTTATTATGATAAGATTAGCCACTGAACAGCGACTTCAATGAAAACATGACGTGGGAAATCGCACAATAATTATTAACCTTATCTACCTTGTTATCTATTATGTTGCAACGCATTTTTTATTTAAACCCTGTTGTAAACTGCAATGGCATACAAATTTTAATATGTATTAAAATTTACATTTTTGAGGTTATAGCATAATAGAGATCGTTATTGTGTAAGATCGTTTTAGTTTAGTAGTAAAAACATTATAATATTCAATGAATAATATCGCAATACTAGAGATCAGTAATAATAATATATTATTGCAATAAGGCACTATAAACTTTTATTGCAAATTATCATTAAAATTCCTGGTTGAGATAGTCAAAAAACTAAATACGATAGTAAAACCAAAAATATGTAAAATCCAAAAAGACGTTATAAAAAAGTTTAAGCTTAAACTTTAAACAAGTTTAAACTGCCTCTGTGGCCGACCGGTTACCATGCTGGACTGTCACGACGACGAGACGTCCCGAGTTCGATTCCCGGATCGGGAGAAATATTTGTACGGCCTACATTTATTTCTATCGTGAGTTTGGGTGTAATTTGTGGTTGTCTATGTGTGTGTCCATGGCATCCGCGATGCAGGGTTTCCCTAGTGCGGGCTATGTTGAGTGTGTGCGTTATTATAAAAAAAAGACTGGTAGATGTAAAGGTACCGGATGACTGAAACGCTTCATAGATTTCACACAGGTGTCGCTCAATGCAATACAAAAGATCTGTCACAAATACTTAGAGAAATTCATAAGGGCTGCTGACTCGATCTGCAGTTCCGTTGGTATAGCGGTAGCCCTGGCTTGGCACAGATGCAAGTTCGAGTACTGTCAGGTCGAAGGAATTTTTCTTTGTGTTCGATCTTTGTATTAATAATAATAACAAACTAGTCGGGTGATTTGACAGAAAACAAATTATCATGTTATTCAATAAGAAATACACTTTTTATTTATTAAACTTTGATTTAATTACATTTTGTACAATATCTAAAAAAATGCATTTATTGTAATTTCGATTTTTTTTAAAGATATTTATTTAATTGCTACTTTATGTCTAATTCTTATTTACTTAGGGATAAACTTTACCATTGTATGTTCTCACTTTTTTTTCAGCTAAGTGTGCCAGGGTATATACATTTTGTTCAAGTTTTGAGTACTTTACGTTTTCATTACAAATTCTATGTTTTATAGGAGATAATGTTCACACATATTCACAAAAAAAAATACGTAGCGTAAATAATTTGGCCCAAACAATTGTGTCTTCTGCAAAACGGTTTTTATTATTATTATTATTCGCCAACGAACAATGTCTTAAAAGTGTTACAAAACTTTCACTACACGCATCTCGAATACGTAATTCACATAATTGTATTTGTGGAATCAACATTGCGTAACTCTTCATTATATGATTGTATTTGTCAAGTAGATTCTATATGAATAGCATACACTCGTACACTTTTGATAAATTCACTGTGCTTTTATTAGTAGAGAGTTAATTTGATAGTCGTACACAGATTGTTTATGTGATTAACTTGCTCGTTGTTAAAATGTATTGGGAGCAACGAAATGGTAGCGTCGGTCTTATTTACTGCCGATCCATTTTAATTTACCTATTGTACGATACATACATTCAAGCCCTTTTTCGGCAGAAAGAACAGTCTTCCACTTGCTACGGTTTTGACACACATATGTACTACGCCTTACTAACACGCATTAGTGCTTTCATAGATTTTATTATTCACCCCGTCTCTAACATTCGGAGTAGCACAGTGGCTTTTTGCCGTCCACTTCTCCCCCGCGAAAACCGAGACGTGACCGGTGGCGAACAATACTAGGGTCAGGTGGAGTAAGAGGAATACCGGGTGACGAGGGACTTCAAGCCTTCACTCAAAATCTAAAGAGTTTAGCACTATAGTCTGTCAGTCGATAAAACAGGCAAATAAATTAATTTAACGATTTTAAAGAAATGTCGCTACGATGGACCAAATCCAAAACGCGGAAAAAACAAATTTGACAGATGTGAAATCTTGAGAACATGAGATATATATATTATCTATTAAGAAATATGATGACTGTTGTGTTCCGTATTGAAGAGTAGGGAAATAGGAGATTTAGAACCTTATGTCGGAAGGCAGACAATTAATACTTGCGTGATATCTCAAATGCACATAGGCGGCGCGACCGTTACCACTTTGCATCAGGTGGTTCGTCGGCTGTTTGCAGATTTGAAGACCATAATAAAATAGAACCTGTTAAGTGTTTCCTCCTTCATAAATTAATTAACAATACAATTGACAGGATTTCATAACTGAGCATCAGACCATTCATTAAAGGTGATGAATAACGTGACCATTATTTTTTCTCCTCAGAGCGGGACGCTTGTAAATTTATTGTTGTTTTAAAAATAAAATATACGTTTATTATAGTTACGTAATGGTTAATTATTAAAAATAATCAAAAAGAACCAAAAATGTTTAATGACCAAAAATTACAAAAAAAAAAATCTTGTGCGATCTGGTGGGCTGGCTTTACTTATATTTCGCTCTTGCGCCATTTTTTACAATTTATTGTCACGTATGTCGTGTTTTCTTAAATGTTCCACACATTTAGTATTTGGGAACAGCGGGACTTGAAGCTTAAAAGCAGAAGTGTCCCGCTAAAACCGGGACGTGTGGTCACGTTAGTGATGAAGCCAACTTCCTATCAACTCAAATGTCGACTCAAGTGGGCGCACCCATCAGGAACTAAATACTGAGAAGTCTCGGCTTTCTACCACGTAACCTTTCTCCATGTGACCCTTCGAACTATCACGTAAAGTTATGCAACACGCTGCCACCAAATGAAACATACAGGGTCAATTTAACCTAGTAACACGTCAAGTATAACGTGCCGTATGAATGAAGGATGCTCTGCAACGTAGTAGCCGTGGATGGAATGCAAGTTTCTATGTAATTCATAACTTTCAATGCATTATAGCTTTCGTATGGGAAGAGTTAAGTACCTTGTTGGTTCATGTTATGTTGTGTAAGTACTGAAGGTATTTCAATTGTCAAATGATTCCTGTTCTACTTGTTTACCTACTACAGCGGCTTAATTTACTTCTCACGTCGATGTCAATGTTATACAGATAACAACTGAAAATTTGTGAACGAATTTGGATATTGTCTGTCTTTTTTTACGATACCAAGTGACGGGACGAGCAAGTCGTGCGCCTGCTGTTCAGCGACACGCCTGTCTATATTAATCGCAGTGCCACTCAGAGCTTTAAATCGCAAACATTTGAGTGACACTGCCACTGTGCCTGTCACCCTGAGACGTAAGTTCATAAGTTGTATATACCTATAATTTCATCAGTACATTTACCTTTCAAAACCGGAACTTGGTGGCAGAAATTAGATAACGTGGCAGTACTTCTCTGGACGAACTCTGTCACAAGGAGCTCTACTGCTACTAAAGTAGATATTACTAATTTGTTAGAGTTATATAATCTTATGTAAGTCTAACAAATTAAAAGAACAGTAATTAATCACCTACAACAGTCTCTATACATCCCGGCATTTATCTACCGTCCGTGAGACTACCATGAATTCTACAGTAAATACCTATATCTAATTACATAATTGACAATAGTAGTAATCAAAACAAAGGCCAAGTTCAAGTTGGCCATGTAAAAACACTAAGTACGTTCGAAATTTTGTATTAACCAACGTTATATTTGAGCCGATTACAAGAATAACCGGCGTGACAGTGCCGATTGCGCAGACTGTGCTCAAATTATATTAGCGCATCGTTCATGTGAGCTGCTCAAATGTAAATGCGGCTTTAGGATGATTGCTGATCGCTTAAAGTCAAATTAGGACATGAGGAACAAAAACTAACATCCGGTGTCCTTCACCTCAACCAATCATGTGTGGAGCTAATTGATAATTTGGTTACATGATTTAATATCACTGAGACGCCTTTATTATTACCAGTACTTTAGGCTGTTGTTATGTTGTTTTATTTCGAATGGGTTTTTTAACGTTTTCAATTTTGAACTTATTGCTTTGAAATGAATAGAATCTCATTGAGATGATAATTGATAAATTATAGAGATATTCGGCGGCATTACGAGTATCATGTGCTTGTGTGTAATCTGTAGTGTTCTATTCGCTAACCTGCCAGCTAAGCGTGCGATTGAGTATATGAATGAATGAATTGAGTGTGCGAGGGAATTGCACGATTTAATTCCGCCTTCCGCTTTCCATGATCGTTGGACTAGACGTAGGTTGGAGTTTCACCCCTATGTTGTGGATATTCCAAGGATTCGCAAGAAGCGTTTCGCTTTTGGAGTGGAATACCTTGCCTGCAGACTTATTCCCTAATCGTTAATTGCGACTTTTTTTTATTATACAATGTACACTCATGACCCACCCACCTTGTTACCATTAGCAGTAGCAATGAGATCGTCCATAAGCAGCTGTCCCCAAGCCGCCAACAAACTTGTGACGTAGTCGTGATCAGCAGGTTCCGTCAGCTGAGCCGCAGCGTGGACTGCCAGTTGGGGCTCTGGCAAACGCGGCGACGATAGTGGTTGGGATATACCTACAAATAATCATTATACATGTTCTTGTTAATTAAAAGGTGTTATTAATGGGTATGTTCAATATAACTAAATTACTTTCTCTGAGAGCATTGTTCGCGATTATAAGGCCTAAATTATCTCAAAAATCCATTAAAAGTAATAAAAAGTTAGTAAAATTGTTGAGTTCCGTGTTTAACACTGGAAGGATGTCGACTAAAATATTGGGACTTATATAGACAACGAGGTCCAGGATGCCAGGTTTGATCTAAATACGTTCCAAGAAATGTTCCTTTTTTAACCCGATATCCCTATCGTTTGGCCCGACATATACACACTACTACATGTTTTCAAAGGAATTGCTATAACATGTGCGTTAAATTATATAATGTATTACCTGACAACATAAAAATGTTACCTATGTCTAGATTTACGAAAATACTATTTTAATTGCTTGTCACAAATTGTTTTTATAATGTAAATGAGTTTTTGACATTTCAATGTTAAAGCCTGCAACCCTTTACATCTTTATTGCTTTAACATGCGTTCCTCTTTTTTATTAAACCGCAATTTTTCTTTAATTATATTATTTAATGAACAAAATTTAATTTTATAATGTAATACGACATGATTATAATTATATAAGTAATATGACTAAGTGTAATGAATGCGAAGAATGTATAATATTTGCTATTAACATTTGTATGCCAGTTACCGGCGCAACACGCTGAACCATAAGTGTAATCTTAAACATGTAAACTGTGTTTACCGTGTATGCTTAGAAATAAATATATCTCTATATCCCTATCTCTACGATAGGCCGAGGATTGCAAGGAATGCAACGAATTAGGCGAAATCTACACAGCATTGAATAAGCATATAATCATAAAAACGCATATACTCATAGCGCCGCACTGGGGAAAACCCTGTGTCTCGGATGCCATGGATACACACATAGACAACCACAAATTACAGCCAAACTCGTGAGAAAAATAAATGAAGGTCATACAAATATTTCTCCCTATCCGAGAATGGAACCCGGAACCTCTGCGTGGCAGACCAGAGTGGTAACCGTTCGGCCAACGAGGCAGTTAGATTCAAAAAGTTGTTATAAGAAGCGCTAGTCAATTACACATTTATCTGGAAGGAATCGAATATAATCAGCACTGGGTCATAAACTTATACACTTATTACTGTTATTAGTGACGAACCATAATGCTATAAAATTCACTTTGCAAGTGCCTCAGAAGTGAATCAGATTTTAAATTATTAACGTAATTTTGAATTACTATGCGCTACACATTATTGGACAAAGAAATAACACGTGGTATCAAGCACGTATTATAAAAGTGGAATAACTCTAGAAAAGATCTTTTCTAGAGTTAATGATTGTGTAATGAGATTTTAAGGCTTTCGTGGCAATTAAAAAAAATGATTTTCTTCCCATGGTAGGAAATATCAGGAAAACAAAAAAATCATAGTCATAATCGTATTGTTAATTAAATAAATTTACGCTAATTATTAAAATAAATAAATAAAAAATAGTACGTGTGTGTTTTCAACCACTATTCTCCCAATAATGAGTGTAGGTTTTTTTTAAATGCACGCCATTCCTTCCGGTGTCGTGCCTTCATCGTCCAAGTTTTCTCTGATAGTGTCGTCAGGCAAGAGCTTCGGTATTTTTAGGATACCAAGTGATGGGACAAACAAGTGGTGGTAAGCGACAGGCCTGTCCAAAACATTTGCAGTACCTCTCAGAGCTTTAAAGGGCAAAAATCTGAGGGTCACTGCCACTGCGCCCGTCACCCTCAGACATAAATTGACAAGTCCCACGTGTATGTAATTTCACCGGCATCCTTACCCTTAAAAAACGGATAGCACTAATGTCACATTAATCATAATCTATCATAAAAACAGCTTCCTGATGACGATTGCCGTAAGAAGTGAGTGCTCAATAATGCAACATTAATTGATAATACTTTGTCCTATATAAAATATGTATATAGTTTCTTTGTTATAAGTGAAATATTAACAATCTGTTACAGATCTAGTCTGAATAAATGAATTTTGTTATTATTATTATACACCTATGTAAACCTATTATGCATAAACACAATACGTATTCTAATCCAAACGAAGTAATAAATTATATAGTACGTTCTATTAACGCCTATAAACTCCAACTTGCTATAAAATGAAATTACAAAGACCTTCCTTACCGTTAATTTCGCCATGCGCTATTTATTAATAAAGATAAGATCAATATTTCGCCAAGACATAGGTACCTAGTTAAATTATGCGCGATGTCAGAGATAAGATGTTGTTATCTCAATCGAATATTTACTACATACAAGTTACTACGATTGTCTCGTTACGAAGTTAAAGGTAGATCAGTATCTACCTTTAACTCTCTGGCAGTCCAGAGGGAACGCTGCCAGCATCTTGGGCACCAATTTTATTCATATAATTTAAAATCCTAGTTTTACTTGCAAGTATTTAAGCTTTTATTGTGCATTACCTGTAATATTGTCAAGGTAGATATGATTAAATAAGCTAATTAACCTTTGCAAAGGAAATGATTGTTTCCCATATCCTAAAATCAATAAGTAACATCTAGTGTCTGAATCGTGTTGGGCGTTCTACTTTAGAAAATTTCTTCGTCTTAAAATTGTTTGTGTTACTTTTTTTAAAGCATTATTTTTTCGGTAAATTAATAATATGGTAATTCGAATTAATTATTTTTGTAACTTTTGTTCAGAAAAACTGGTTTAATGCATACTAACCCCATTAGACTTAGCCGTGACAATGGGACCTGTATAGAGTCCGAAACGACTTAATTATTTCTATAACTATACTTCAGAATCAGGGTGGTTTAATGCGTACTGACTATATCAGACTTTACTGTTTGATTATAAATATCACCTCAGTCAAAGAGTCTGTAAGGAGCCCAAACAGTTGGTTTGATTGAAAAAAAAAAAAATGTAAGTAATTTTAGAAAAATTAATATAATAATAATTTAAAAAAATACTTAATTCCCAAAGCTAACGAAACGTTGTTCACAACTTTCGAACGGCCATTAAAATATACTTAAATATTGTTTTATTAGATGAAAAAACCCCGAAACTTCTAAATGTTTATAGATGTTCGTTTAACTTAACTCCTTGTCATTGTTATTTACGCCGGACATAGGTATGTAACGATACTTATTTCTATTGATTGCATGGTAGAGCGTTAACAATGATGCCTCTAACGGGATGGGCCGACCGTGTGATTAAGTTAACCATCGACTGCTTCATTGACGACGAAAAATATAAGCGTTTGTTAATCATTAACCGACGCATTTATCTCGTAAGTGCTATTAGAGTTGTTATTAGGTCACGAAGGCTGAATAATCGGTAATTTATTACTCACGTTGGTAATTTATTTATAATCTTCTTATACCAAAAATGATATTGTTGGTGTGCATGCTATTTTGATGCGCCGATTTATTTATAGATCCTATTACGAAGAATATTTTTTATAGATCGTACACGTTTAAATGTACTATCTGTTGATAGTGTTGGGCTTTAGACTTTGGAATTCCATCTGTCTTATCGTAGGTGGCACAAAGTTTAAAATGTAAATGTAAGCTATAAAATATTTTGACTTATTATCAATATTTTTAACATATTTTTAACCAGCATTAAATTTATTTTACTTACTAATTTATCAATTTAAAAAAAATTAAAAACATAGGAAATGAAACTATTTTTCCGGATTTAAATCGCGTATATTTGTTTTCTCAAAGAAACCAATGTTTCGGGCCCTTTACAGGTCCCATGGTCACGGTTGACAGTCAACCATGGGACCTGCAAAGGGCCCGAAACGTTGGTTCACAAGGAGCTCTACTGCAACTTATGCTGATATGATTGCTAGGTTAACGAACTTCACTTCCTGGGAGCGCGGTGATCTTAGCATGTATCATGTAGTATTTTACCCTTAATTAAATATAATTAAAAGTTCTAAAATACAATTTTTGTACTAACATTAGAATAAGATAAATTTATAAGTAAGGGTGTAATATAATCTCAGTACAAAGTACTAAAAAAACCGACCTCAAAAGTTCGAGCAAATTACGTCTATTTGCCAAGTTTTCTTGAAATCGGCTACCGGAAAATGCGCGAAACCGGATTCGTCCCCTAGTTTGCCACCCTTAAGGACTATCCACACACATCAGGGCCGTGCCCGGGACGCGGAAGGGGCGTGCTAGTTTGTATGAACTGCGGGCCAGTCCCGGCACAGGCCCGGTAATGTGTGGATAGACCTTAAGAGGTGGAATATTTTTTTCAAATTTAAATGGGACCACTAACGATAATAAGGTGTCCTCTTCCCAACAAAAATAGAATCATCAAAATCTGTCAGAGTTATCGCGTAACATACATACAAAAAAATAGACAGTCAAATTAAGAACTTTCTCCTTTTTTGAAGTCAGTTAAAAATGAACTGTAAATTGTCTGCAATAAATGATTTTCTTTATCATACTCTTAAAGTTCGTATTTATGCTGGGTGTAGGCTGCATAAAATAGGATTTTATGCTCTAGTGCATAAAATAAAATCGTCGCTTAAGACCGAGGCAATGACGCCTGCGCCAACAGACACACACACTAGAGCTTTATAAAATAAAGTTTTACTTTTGTTTTTTTAATCCTTGTTATATTACAAAATTAAAAAGTAGGCAATAGGTAGTAATTCTAATAAGTTATAGGAAATAGAAATGCAAAAAAATAAAACCTTGTAAAATATGACGGTGCATTATGTAGTCCGACCTGAGTCACGTGTAGAAAAAAATCGTTTATTTGTAATATTGCTGTTTAATTTCCTCGCAATCGAAGTGAAAAGCAGAGTGTATAACGCGTTCATAAAACCCATTTTACCCTCGACTTAAGTATCCAATCCGAGGCACACTCGAGTAAAACGACGCGTTTTGTGCACTTGTCTAACCTTAAACTTGTGTAATTTATTTTTATTCTGCCCTCCTAGTCACAACTAACGCATTTGCATTTGGTTACTTTCAACATATTGGCATCTAGTTCTTTTATTCTTCGAAATATATCACTAACGCTGATTTTGTTTAACATTAAAAATGAAATTAAATAAGGTATAAAAAACCGCTTATATGTAAACATCGTTTCGTTGATTCCAAATATTATGTTAATAACTAAATATCGATAAGAATGTCGATTACGTTAGTACGGTAAATAGATACGGTAAATTTAGGTTATTTATAATACTGCCCATTATAGTCTCACTAATATTTAGAAAATTGTGTTATTGCAATACGGCGATTAACTACATAACAGCATAACTGGAAGAGTAAATTTTGTATATAAGTAATAGAACAATGTTCTTACAAGTCGAAATGTTTCCACTCATTTGAAATCATTTTTCATTTCAAACCGTCCATCCCCAGTCACTTTTCAAGAAGTCAAGATTGCCCATTGTCCGTTCAAGCTTCCGCGTCTTGAGCGAGACAAATCACCCACAATTTTAATGAATAGTTATCATGGTTGATCGCCTACAGTATTTTTTATTTTCACAAAGTAAGTGGCGCTCATTATACGAATAGCCGTTGCGACATTGTTTCAAACTTGTTGCTTATCTCGCTTTGTCACTGAGACGAAAGTTATTTAGCTGTTGCTTGTTTTGTAAATCGGTTAGGTTTGGCTTGATTTATTGGTGTATTTAATTTCTGATTGCCTGTGTATATCTAAACTTTGAAACAATAATTTAAAATCTATCTATTTATTTTGAAAAGACTATTCTATTATTATAGTCCTATTAATAATATTTTATAGTTCTATATTCTAATAACTTCATAATAACGTAATCTCAGTACAGGGTACTAAAAAAACCGACCTCAAAGTTGTTTCTATTTTACTACCCTTAGAGACGGATAATTTTCTTCAATTTTTTTTAAATAATACTAACTGACGAGGCGAACAAGTCTCGTTGCAGTGCCACTCAGAGCTTTAAATTATCAACGATCAAAATGATCTTAGGGGTCGCAAACATTTGAGCGATACTGCCACTGCGCCTGTCACCCTGAGACATAAGTTGACAAGTCCATGTGCCTGTAATTTTGCCAGCACTCTTTCTTACCCTTCCAAATCGGAACGCAGTAATGTTCACATTATTGCTTGGTGGCAAAAATCGGTAAGGTGGCAGTACTTCCCTGGATGAACTCTTTCACAAATGCCGGAGTTATCGCGTAACATCCATACAAGAACAAACAATTGAATCGAGAACCAACTCTTTTTTTAGTCGGTTAAAAATCTTAATATTTAGTTCCCATAAAGGAAGAAAGGTAATCTGTAATAAATGTAAAGTAACTATTAAGCTAATTTTCATGTTTTTATAGTTTTTGTCGTTGCCACAAGTTGACCGAACTATCAGAAAAATTGTTTTATTTATAACGTCGTCAGACGTAAGATCAATTAATATTTGGGTATACTCTTTTGCTAACAATGTCTCTTTGCAAAAGACGCATAACACTAATTAGTATTCGCACAATTGATGTAAAAAGACCAAACTTGCAAACTGACAACTTTTCAGGATAGATTAAAGATTCTACGAACAACATTTGTCGATAACTTTTTATGGTAAAACAGAAGAGTTGTAAAATTTTATTTTCATTATATAATTTGTTTAATTTAATTGATTTTTTTATTGAATGTTTGTTGTATATAGAATGTTTCACCATCATGATATTTTTTTTTGTGAAATTACTCCACTAGTTTGTTATAATTATTAATACAAAGATTGAAGTTAGAAAAAATTTATACCACCGTCTCCTAGCAAACCGTGCCAGACCATGCCAGACCGTGCCAACTAAGCCACGGAACGAACCAGTTGGCCTTACGAATTTTTCTATGTGGTTGTTGTCGGATTTTTGTATTTGGTTTTCAACGACTTTTTTAGCCGTAGCGCCATCTATGAAAAATCTATGAAAGTTTCATATAGTTCGTATTATTTTTACAGCCTTCATGTGTTAAAAGCACGTTTGGCGTACGATCGTATGTGGCTTTTACGAGTACGAGTTATTTTCATAAAGTTTCAAATTCCATTGCGAAATTACTTATGTTACAAAATATTCGGAATGTCGCCGTTTTTGGTCAAAATAATATATTGCAAGAAATAAGAAGTCGACATTTATATTAAAACAGCTCATTTTTAAGGTTGACCTTACAATTTGATATATCATGTCAGATTTGTACATGATCCGGTTTTAAGAGCATATACATATATTAATACCATTACAACTTTGACTTTTCATTAATTACCGACAAGCTTTGATACAGGTATTATTATTTGGTATTTTATCTTATCGAGTTCAATAATATATACATATTTCACAGATGTAATTCATAAAGTTTCAAAATATTTATAGCTACGTAAGATAATCATGTTATATTTTTTTGCGACATTAAATGGTAAACTATTATCTTACAATTCAGATTGATCGGTTGTTATACCAATAGGCACTTCGAGGAATTCATGCATGACTACATCGATACGTTATCATTGATATTTTCCTTTAAGATTTTGGTAAACAACTGTGGAGAAAAACCAATGAGTAACTTGCTAAACGGATCCGTCATGAGTAAGTAAACATAGCATAACAAATCATTGCCAATGTACGAAGGCTAAAAAAGCCTGGGCATTCTAATGGCTTGACCTACCGACTTTCAAGCAGAGGCCGTAGGTTCGAATCCGGGCTTGCACCTCTGAGTTTCTCGGAATTTATGTGCGAAATTTAATTTGAAATTTACCATTTGCTTTTCGGCGAATGAAATCATCGTGATGAAACTTGCACTTTGAAGAAGGTTTATTACCCGAAAAACGTGTTAATACCCCGACCCGCATTAGGGTTGATGATGTAGATGATGTGCGAGGGCTTATTAGTGTAATTTAGATGTAGAATAATAACGCACACACTCATAGCCCCACACTAGGAAAACCCCTGTATCGCGGGTACCAAGGACACACAATAGACAACTACAAATTACACCCAAATACAAATATTTTTCTCGGCTTTGGAATCGAACCCGGGACTTCTGCATGGCAGACCGGCCACGGAGGCAGAATTCAGTATTCTTTCTTCTAACTTCATTTGGATATCATGTCACATTATTTATTAGAAAGAAATTAATTAGGTTCAAAACTCCGATATTATTCCATAGTGTATGAGAAGATACACAAGACCCTGAAGACCACACACAATTCTAATTAATATAATCGCGTTTCACGAGAGTCCAAGCATCAATGGGGGTGCGTGTACACAAACGTTTTTTTTTTGCTCTCAGACAGCGACACAATAAAAATTAAGTATCTATTACGCTCGTTGCAGGAAAATCCACAAATTAGAGGATAAAGGAAGTTAAGGAAAATCACAAAGGCACATTTATTGTTAATATATGCCTCGACACTGTTTATTAATAATCATAAATAATGCATCTTTGCTTCCGGCTTAGAAAACTGAATCTGCGGAATTTTCTTATATTTGGGGGCCCGTCGCTTCTTAACCCTACAACTCTAATCTTGCAATACATTTAGTCATTCTAAATAAATGAAATTGTTATTAATATATTAATTATTGTGGATTCATGCATTACAAGTAGCAAACGATATATGTATGTAGAATTATTATATATATATATAATTATTATACATACTAATATATATATATATATATATATATATATATATATATATATAATCACTTCACATATAAATATATAATATATATATGTGAAGTGTCATCAGATTCTAGAAGTGCTACAGTAGCACAGGTCACATCAACATAATCTACTCGTTTAGACAGTTTGTATATTTGATAAAATTAACCTTATTTTCATGACATTACTTTCTTTGTTTTAAGAATGATTTCCGTTTAAAAATGAAAATGCACTTCAACGGATGTCTTTCATGCTCTACGTTGTTATGATGATTGTAGACAATACCTGACGATACGCCAAAAAATCTACACAGCTATTGAATATCGTAATTTAACTCATAGGATAAAGGATAGATGCTTACCATCAGCATAATTAGGTGGCAGTAACCTAAGGAAGACATCTCCTCGTCTACCCCACGGCCTATGCCTTACATTGTTGCACTCTCCGCTTGCGCTTCGATATTTACTTGGAGGACAAGGCGTACTGCTGACATCATCCTCCTGGGATGTGCAATTGTTTCTGCAAGTCAAATTAATAAGATGTAGAGGATCAAGGTTAAATATCATGCATGATTTGGCCGTACAGTTTTAAGACGTGATCACAATTTGTATCGAACGTTTTTGAGTCAAATTTTGGTTTACCAATTATGTTTATTCGCTTTTGAAAGTCGGTTACAATGGGAATATGTACAGTTTTCAATAAAGTGCAGAGGCGCATCTTCTAAAGTAAGCTTGTAGTTGATTGCATGGAGTAATGCAGACAGCTAAGGCGTCTTCTTGCATTGCACTCGATAACATTATAGTACAGATAACAATAGATAGTTTTACGAATGAACCGTCCCCACTATCTGCTAGATCTGCAATGTTATGTATGTTATGTTATGTACCTACTACTTCCGCAACAAGTCTTTTGGAACTTAATTAGTTGTTTCATGGCTACCGGTTTACATATGATAAAAATAGCCTACGCATCATTAGCTCTTAAGAGAAACCTCCTCTCCAAAGCTAGGGCTTCGCTAGCTGCTCTTCTCAGATCACTTGGCACTGCTTGAATGTTGATGTCTTCAGAACTGCTCCTCTGCACCGCTACTAATGCCAGGAGCAATAAACATTGTCGTAATCTGAAACAAAATAAAAATTATTAAAAATATTATATAAAATGTTATACAATAACAAGTTTATCCAGTCGTTCAGACTAGGGGATCCTGATTAGGAGGCGAGTCCAATGTATTGCCTGTACATTCACCAGCATCCTTTAAATTCGGCGCGCAGCAATGCTCACATGCCCTTTGGCGTTAGAAATAGATAAGGTGGCAATACTTCGTTGTTCATTTCGTTCGTTGTGACAGTGTGTTTAATTTTATAAAATTAAAGTATGTTTATGTCAATTGATATAACTACAAGGCATGTCAGTTAAAATTAGTTTGGTAGCTTAATACAATCTGTAGAAAGCGTAGTTATAAACATAATTGGTTTTTCACTGTAACATATAACATGGTGCCAACATTACAAAATAATTGATAATAAAAAGTATTAAAAAGAATTGATAAATAAATTTTTTTTTAAATGTTTAATTTGTCGATCAATAGGTTTCTAAAAAAAATTAAAGAAAATCATTAAGCACTTTATTGCAGCGATTGGATATCAAACACTAGATAAATTGCCTATTTCATCAAGAGCAATATACGTGCGCTTTGTAAACTACGATGTGACACCATCAAGCATTTAGCACGGTGTTATGATAGTGTTATATATTTACGTATGTAATTATTAATAAACCTTACAGGTGTATTAGTCACAATAGCATTTTAGTCACAAAGTAATTATTTGCTCGGTATTGGATTGATGGCGGCTTTGGTATTGGATTTAAACGGATTTTTTGCCAGAGCGGCACCTGTGAGAACTTGTGGAAGTTTCTTCACGCATATATGTATATCGTGGTACCTTTACAGCTACCACGATATACATATATAATGGATAATATTAATATAACAATATTTAGTAGCTGTAGCGCTTCTTGTGAAAGAGTTCGTCCAGAGAAATGCTGCCACCTTATCTATTTGCGCCGGTAAGCAGAATGTGAGAATAACTGCGTTCCGGTTTTGAAGGGTAAGGGTGCTGGTGAAATTATAAGCACATGGGATTTGTCAACTTAGAGTCTCAGGGTGAAGGGAGCAGTCTCTCGTCACTTCTATTATAAAAAAAATGTATATTGAACTGCAATAACATAAAAATATCCAATTTTAATCATGAATAAGATGCTATACCACTTCAGACAATGCGACCACCGAAGTATAAATGTTAAAACTTTGACAATAAATGTAAAGTATAATATCTATTGAAGAATTAAACTGACAGGTTTTTTCAATATAATAATTAAATTTCAATGCAAGATCGTTTATTTGAAAAGCAACATATTAAGATGTAAAATTAATAATATTACATTGACCGGAAATGGAAAATTGCAAAGTAGGATTAAATAGCTGCATTGGAAGCCGTGGTAGCCTAATGGTTTGACCAACCGCCTCTCAAGCAGAGGCTGTGGGTTCGAATTCGTTCACACCTCTGAGTTTCTCGGAATTTATGAGCAAAATTTAATTCGAAATTTACCATGAGCTTTTCGGTGAAAGAATATTGTAGAGATGAAACTTGCACGTCGACGAAGATTCACAACCCTCGGAAAAAGCGTGTATTGTCCCCATCTCGCATTAAGCCAGCATTGCAAACTATGTCCTATACCCTCGCCTCAGAAGAGATCCGTGCCCAGCAGTTGGACCTATACGGGTTGATGATGTGATGATGATGATTAAATTATGATGAAAAGTGCAAAAGTACATACGTATGTACCAATGTAAGATATCCGTAACCTTATTTTCACGAAGAATGTCTTTTTATTCATTCCGATCGTTTCATCTTTACAATAAAAGCGTACATCTACTCCTCACAAGCAACAGATTCTTGAACACAGTTATGTTTAAAAAATAAAAAATAAGCCTTCAAAAGCTGCGATAATTTCCGACAGCTGAATAAGGAAAATGACCGGCTATTGACTATCGAGATACAGACAATACAAAAAAAAATTAAATGTCACAGGCAAAAGTTTATTGTCCAGCCAGCTAAGGGCAATATACTATTAATTCTGTTGTATGCGTCACAGTGTTTTTATAAATCAATATTAGTTAAGTACTCGTATCAGTTTTACTAACAGGTTTAGCTTGGAAGAAAAGGGAACTCAATTTGCTAACTAATGTACTGTTGAATAGCAATATTAATCTCTAACACGATGAACCAAATGTTATTATTGCGTATTATAGTAAAGTTTGAAATGTATATGTGAGTTCATTTAATTTTTAATTAATTTTATATATTTTTTTAAATTAAGACAGGGACTGAAACTTCAACTATTTAACGAACTTTTTACAATGTAATTCGTGTATCATTACGTTTTATTTACACAAAATTTCGTTTCACCGAAAAGCTTAGGGACTTCAGTTTCAAAAGGCAATTTTCTGATCACTTTCATTATGATATAATTTAAAATTCTAGGATTATTAGATCCCAACCCTAACTTCTATATTCAAGACAAGATTGATCGTTCACGAGCACACAACTGGTTTAGCCAGGAAGTGACAGTGAACAAGTTGCAGCAACATCGAAAAAAAAGTAAAAATACCGGACTACGATGCCATGATCCATGAATCAACGAGTTATTGGTTATATACACATAGTTATGAGATATACGAATAAGTTTTTTTATTACAAATAAGCATGCAAAATTTGATAGTTCCTACTATATGAGCAAGTTTATTAAAAATCTGGTTTTCACTACTTCCCTACAGCACACGCAACTTCAAATTTGTTTATTGGTCATAATAATATAACTTGGTCATATTCTCACGAGTGATCTGAACGATGATCAGGATATCGAAAGGGAGCGTAGGGCGTTAGCGGTTCGGAGTTATATGCTCGCCCGCAGGTTTGCTCGATGCTCATATGAAGTTAAAATAACGCTATTTAAAGCCTATAGCCAATCTTTCTACTCGAGTAGCCTTTGGGTGAGGTATACGAAACGTGTCTATAGCGCCCTGCGCGTTCAATGTAACAACGCATTTAGAGTGCTGATGTGATTGCCAAATTGGTGCAGTGCCTCGGCCATGTTTGCGGAAGCTCACACGGACAGCTTCCAGGCCGTAATACGGGAAAAGATTGTTTCGCTGTTGAGTCGCGTGAGGCAAAGTCGCAACAGCATTCTAAGTGCAATATCGGGAAGTTTTGACTGTCCAATAGTAAAATTCTGGATAGAGCAAACTAAGGGCGTAGCCCAATTTATAGTGTAGTTATAAATTAAGTCTGTACTGTATTATACTAACTTTGTTTTTAAATTCTCGTAGTAACATACTATGGATATTTTTAATGGTGCGAAATAAATAATTATTATTACGTTATTATAATTGTGAAAATGCTTTTTGTGAAACGTGTAATTTGTAATAGAATATCTGCATCTTACAATGAAATAATATCGAGTTTTAGGTTTTCGCGATTGTACATTTACATGTACATTTACAATACATTTCCTAAATGAAATAATAGTTTCATGAATTTGAATGCAAAGATTTAATATGGGGGATATTTACTTATTCTTCTATATTTGATTTTTATGCACGTGTGTTACAGCTTATTGTTAAGTAACTTAGAATTAAAATGTCATAACATCATACCATTTTACATGGACTATCACGCGAACTCGCCAAGTATTACTAGACATTAAGTTATTCATAGTTTTGGCGAAAACTTGTTTTCGGTTGTATAATTTTTACATTATGACATAACCCTATTATGCCTATAAAGTTGATTGTAAAAGTATCATAATTAATTGTGTGAGCTTTTAAAGTGTTCGAAATGTGATCTTATAGAGTTTCATAAATTAGGATTGAAGTTCTAATCAACTGTGTTTAATTTGTTATTACTAGGCTAAAATTGAGATTTACGTATGTATTTGTTCGTGTTTAAGTCATTCTGATATATATATATGTCTTTTGTCTGCATTTTTAAGTTGAAATCTTTACTTACTGGTTGCGTAGAAAACTGTATGAATGTAGTGCGAAGCGCCTGACAAAATGTATTACAGAATTAACTGAGTAATATTGGTTGTTAACGAATGTACAACTACAAGTCATAAATAGAAAATGTGTCCTGTCGCCAAAAAAAAACAATGAAATTTAGAATTTGAACACAATGACTAAAAAATTGAAGTGGTTATAAATACAAAAAGATTTGTAGCGAATGTTGCGGTTCGCTACACAGGACATAAAAAAGTATCGACCCAATAGTCGGTACATACATGATGTATTTTTCTATAGAAAAAGTATTTAGAAAGATTTTTCGACTAACAAAACAGTCAGCGGATATGATTAGACACCCTATATAATATTATATTTTAAATTACGAATTTGACTCATAATCACATAGTACAAATAGTGTAAGTTACATAATGTTGGAACATATTTCGTAATAAAGGTAATGAGTTCATATTTAAATTGACATTTATCATAACTTCTGCATTTACGTAGAATAATTATACTTGATAATGTATATACAATAAGGAGTAAATATCATCGAATTTTTTTATATATAAGTAACAGTATAGACTTCGTAGACACCTAACTTCACTGTACGATCATTTTCGCCATGTATATTTATGTACATTTGAATTTATTTAAAAAACGAAAGTCGCCTATGTTTAAACATAGCAAGAAAAATCTCAGATTTAATTTAATTTCTTGGTAAACTTAGGTAAAATTTGTTTTGTAAATAATATTGTAAATACGAAAAACCTGCTCAGCTCGGCATCTTTGCTTACTCAAAGACAAAGTATTTTTTATAAATCTCAGCCTAAAACTTGAGTTACATTAATTGAATGAATTTGAGTTCCCGGGGGTATTTACCCAAAATATTGGATAGCAACGCTAAGGGGATCTTTAATACGTCGAGTAAGTCGCTCTAGCACTTGGGCTTCTAAACTGGTACGTTTAAAAATAAACTGCACTAAAATGAAATTATAAATTAAGATCTAGTGTAATACATATATAGGAACTATTTATAAAATCAACCGTGAAGTAAG